ATCCATAAAATGTTGTTCACCCTAAGTCCCTAAGTATAATTAAAAGGCCTCCTAATTGCATGTTTTGTTGTTTAGAAGAAAAAGAAAATATATTTTACAACAATTGTACGTGGTAAATTGATGAATATGATGAATCGAATGACTAAGTACATACCATGATACCCATACCTAGGCATATTCTTCATTCTCAGAAGGACAATTTTGTCATTGTAAAATTTGTAACAACTAACAACATGATGGATATAACCTACTGTATGATTTGTGGATTACTTTAATTAACTAGCTTAGAAACAAACCCTACTTCATTAGATAACCATCAGATTTTACAATCAACTTTTTTAATTTGTTAAGATTGCATCCATCTATTTTTGTTATCATTTTATACACTTTCTTGAGTATCAATACTAAATTACCATTGGCACATTACAATGCAAATTTACAAGTGATACAATATTAAAATAATAAGTACTCCGTAGTACATATAGCTGTTAACTAGTTTGATTATTCAAGTTTTAAGAACTATGGTGACTAAAGTAAAACCTAACATCAATTACTTATAATTGTTTCATTATTCTTTTTTTTAATTATATGACTATTTATAAACAAAAAAATATCCTCTAACTAAAAATCTAAGAAGATACTCCAAGAGTTGAAATCTATAATTACTATGTATATATTTTACCTCTATACAAATTTTTTAATTCTTTCATTTTCATTCGATAATCGTGCCATTTATTCACATACATGCATGATAGAGTAGTAGCAAAAAAGTCCTTTTGTTATTATAATTGTAATCATTTTTAAATCAATCTCTTTCACCTTTTCACTTAATAACTTCATATAAATTCCATAAACCAAATCAAAGTTGATGAAAGCCTGTAAAGTTATAGCTAAATGCATCCTTGATCACGTAAATAATAATAGTAATTTAAGATTAATATAATTATAATCATAGAAAGCATCTTTTCATGCAAGTTGTAAATACAAATATACGTATATTATAAACATAAATTTTAAGGGTGGTACGGTGTAAGAAATCTGTCTTAAATTAAATAAAAGTATTATAATGTCTTAATTATATAAAGTCACTTATTGATGACTAATTATTCTCGAGGTTATACATTAATTAGATAGAGTAGCCTTTATCTTTCTCTCACAGTTGACTAAAATCTATTCTTCTTGGAAGTTTGAATTGAATTAAGGCTAGATTAAGGTTAAGTAAACAAAGTTAAGCAAAAGCCGAGAATATCTCCTCGTGATTTTGTTCTTTTTGTTTAGTACCACTTGCTTTCTAATTGGCCAAATTAATCCCATAAACCGAGAGTTAACACATGGATGATTAGGATTATGACTTCTACTTAACATTAATATAAAATTAATCAAACATGGGTGCTGATTGATCCAATCAAATGTTTTTTTTTTTTTTTAATTTTATTATCATTTATAATAGAGAGTTACAAGAGGCAAATGGTCGTCTAGTGCACGCTTAGGGGCGATAGCTTTCGTGTTACTGATGTATATGGAATTTGATTCTAAGTTTTGAGTTTAATTTCCTTTAAAACTTTATACTTTGTAAATGATTGGCATCATGGACAATTTCTCGCTCTTTTTAGGTGGGAGAAAGGGGGGCGGGGTGAATGGTTGTTAAGCACTCGTGAGGATTTTTTTTTTTTTTTTTTTGTGTATTATGTAGAAAAGATTACTTAACACGTACTAATATATATTACCTTCGTTTCTTTTTAGTTGACACGTATTCCTTTTTAAGAATTTTTTTTTTTAGTTGACACGTATTACTTTTAGGGTAAATTTTTTACCTTACATTTACAAGATACCTCACTTGCTTTTTCATTTTCTCTCACTCTCTCTTTACTTCTTAATATATGTGTCTGAATCAAACGCGTCAAATAAATAGAAACGCAGGAAGTATATTCCAACACATCCAATTAGATAGAGTGTTTAAAATTTTTTAAGATTATGATGTACTCTATATTTAATTTTTTCAAATACATAGTACAATTTTACTTAAGTAATTAAGTTGTTGTGAAGCTTAGTTTAAGTTAAGAAGATTTTGTACGATGTTTCACTCTTCCAAGGAAAAGATTGAGGATATCTTTCCATCCTTATTTTTATAATTGTACTTTTGATAAAGATAACTTATATGTGTATCTTGAATTTTTATTTATATGCAAACATATATAACAACACTCCAAATTTCTTGTGATCCAAAACATGTATAATTATATTTGGTGTCGTGCACATAAATTCAACACAAATAATGTACAATTTTTTTTTGTCTCTTTTACTACGTTTATCATTGTTTTATGAGCTATCACCAATAATATTTTACTCTGTATTAGATTTATTTTCTCAAAATAATACTCCGTAAATGGTTCACAAATCACAATTATCGAAAGCATAACCCTAGGCCCCTATATACTCTTTCGATTATTGACTTGGATCTAGCTAATTACATCCAAATTTTGACAGATATATAAAACAATACCTCGTACATCATAAAGTATGCAATCACCGTTTTTCTATTTCATCATTGTTAACTAACATCATCATTTTCCAACTACTAACATTATTATTGTCATTGTTAAATTCTTAAACTATGTATCATTAATTCATCATACCAGTACCCTCTCTCCTTTTGTTTGACTCTTTGAAATATACAAAATTACGAAGTGGTTACATTTTTAAATCTAACATATATATATATATATATATATATATATATATATATATATATATATATATATATATATATATATATATATATGGGAGTTTTTCCCCGAGGTTTTTAGAGAGTCACGTAGGATTTAATTTTCTTAATGCGCCACGTAAGATTGTAAATTTAAGTTGTAACCAATTAAATAAGAGATTATTAATTTTTTTTACAATTAAATAATTCAAATGCCACGTAAGCAAAATTAACGAATGAGATTTTAAAGTTTAAATTAATTAAATACAAAATATTATCTTTTGAGATTAGGAATTTTATTATAATATTTTAAAACTAATATAATAACAATTTTAATAACATAAATATGAAAAATATTTTCTTAAAAAAAATACTAACAAACCGTGCATCACACGGGCTTCATCTAGTTTTACTCTATAGTTGGATACAGAATACAACAAACTCACATGTACAACCTAAAGTATATTTAGGTCCTATGAGCTTTTATGCAGAGAAAAATAGGTGTCAGCAGAGTAAACTGAGTAAGTAGAGCAGAACAGATTTTAGTAGAGCAGAACATATTTCAATAAAGCAGAACAACTTTAAAGAACAAAGCCTTACTTTTTAAAGAGAATGTAATGCCATTGTTAGAAAATATAGAACGCTAATAATTTGCAATATAATCTTTTAGTTTTTACATATATATGAAATTTTTTCGTAAATCGTAAGATATTTATAAAAAAATTTATTAAAATGTTAAGAACAAAAGGGATTGGAGAGAGTAATGTAATTAGATACTCTAATTTGATTAAATTATACATTTTTAAAAACATATATGGTGTAATATGGTTGAATTATTGAAGCATTACAGCATTAGAAAACTACTCGTTATTTTTTTAAAGCAATGTTAGCATAATTAATATCACTAGTAAGACAAATAATAGTATAACACTAGTCCCGAGTCCGTCGTCAAATTTGGAATCTAGTTCAATTAATGACGTACATAATAGCATTTTCATTATATTAAGTGAAAAAGTGTAAATGATACTTCTAGTTGATACAAGTCCATACAACATCCATTCATGCCTTTGTTTCTATATTTTAAAAAAATGGAGAAAAAGTCACAAATTTCATTGTCACTCTATTATGTATTTTCGTGGGATATATATTGGAGAGTAGGTAAACAATTACTAATATATAAGAGGACAATTACGACAATAACATTTTAACACAACACGATATATTAAAAGAAAATGCAACTACACTAGATAAGTAACACATATAGCTCAACTTATCTTTGACATTGCTACATAAATTTTAAGTACCAGTAATAATTAGTCATCCTTGTCGTATTTCACTTTAATACAAATTTAGCAATGTGAAAACCAACATGACTCAAAGCAAAAAGTAACGACATGTTTTTCAAACTGCTTGCTCATGTAGACATGGCAAAATTAACTCATATGGTCATCCTCATTAAACTATCCGAAACGTGAACTTTTACTTGAAAAAAACATATGGTTTGAGATAGAGTTAAATACCATTACTATGATAATCCATGGCAAAAAAAATGATCAACCAAACATTGGAATGGATGCTACTGGTTGATGCTACTGAGTAGCACCCATTCTAAAAGGCGCAACTAAGCACCCCCTTAATTGATTGTGACCAAATCCACACTAAACCATTTGGGCAACTGAGCCTATATCGATTCTAACAAGTTTGATGGCCCAAACATAAACTGAATTGAATTGAGCCGAGCTGAATAACTCATTTTGTCCTTTAATTGGGTTATGACTTATCACATATGGGGCCTGGGTAAGAACGAGAGCAGAGTCCAGGGAAAAAATGGGGGTTTGATCACCTCTAGTCCAGCAAAAGACGAAAGATAAAATTATTGTCCCGTAATTTGGGTTATGACTTATCACATTTAGCCATTTAGGAACAAGCCACTGAGCAAGATTTCTTGTGAATCTTGTTTATTATTAACAATAAATCATCATAAATAGTTTAGTTTATTTAAGTTTATACATTTGAACCTTCTAATAAGCTTTTCGAGTCAATCTTTTTACGTAGTAATTTAAGTTGTTACCATAAATGAAGCAAGGTGTCTGAACCAGCTCAAGTCTCGGTTAAGCTCTGCTTGAGTGAACTTCAACCTGAGACGTGAGAGAGTAGCTTCCAAGCAAGCTAGGCGCGTGATCACATCTAGCTAATATTCCAGTATCTGCAATACAAAATTACAAACCTTCCATCTCAGGTTTAGAAACATGCTGTGATAAAGAGCATTGTGTAAAAAAAGAACTTAGCTTTGCTCAAAAAAAAAAAAAAAAAAAAAAAAATCTAAGTTCCTTGAACGTACAGCCGATACAGGGGAATCTGATTTTTTCGTTTTCTTCTTATAATAGTGGATCTTCACAAGGGTACACCAGTTCTTTGACTACAAACTGAGTATAACTAACTGTTACCAGCTCTGTTTCCTGACTACACTAACACTTTTGCCCAAAATTTCTTTTACAGGAATCATGTACAAAGACTACAAGTGGTAAGAGAAAGCAATCAATTTCCGTTTCTGAATTCTACTTGCTTCATGGGTTGCAAACTCGTAGCAACATAGCCATGTTGCTAGGAAAAAGATCCCATTGTCTTGAACAACGTTGGAAAACCAGGTTGGGTGCATTGGAACAAATAGCTTTGGCTGTTTTCAGCCAAACAAATTTTGAATTGACCCTCAACATAATCGTGGAAGCCTGATTTGACTGACATTCAGCAGAACTCAAAACCTTGAAAAGTGGACAATTGAAATGGAGTCTCTTCCTTAAACCGTACTAGGCATAAGTTCCTTCTGTCTTCTCGAGATAGTATCTCTTTTATCATTGCTATGTTTCTCTTTCCTACCAGAGCCAATAGACGTCCTTGATAAAGGAAGAGGCAAAGGGGCATTGCTGAGTCTAATCACTTCGCCTGTCTCAGAATCACCAGAGTTTTGCTTAATTTCAGACAATAGCTGCTTAAGCTGGGTTGACTGGCTCACAATACGGCCTTTGTTCCAACCAGGGAAACTAAATTGGGATGATGGCAAAACATCCTTTAGAAAAGAATTAGCCACCTTTGCAACCGGAAAATTCTCTGCTACAGAGCTTTTCTCCATGTCTCCCCTTCTGCTAATGAAACAAAGGAAAAAGTTGTCATGAGGCAAAAGAGAACTGTATCATTCCAATCACATGCAACTTCTTATATGTCAAATCTAAATTAAGATAAAGGCAAGAATAAACAATGAGGCATATATTGAAGCCACAAGAGTAAACACTAATGAATACACAGGAATGAAATTAGCATTCCTTGTTTTAGCCTCTTCCTCGGGAGCAAAAGCCTAGATTTTAAGGGACCAACGTAATCTATTAACAAAATGAATTTCTTATTAAAAGCGGAAAAAAATTGGTCCACACTAACAAACACTTAAAGATCCACCATAGTACATGTGTATATATATTCAAAAAGGAGCAAAAGTTGAGGAATTCCTTCTGAGACACACTTGCATGATAAGGCAGACCAGCATGACAGCATAAGGCCATATGCCATTCTACATCCCTCTGTCTTTCATCAATTAAACGGCAACATAGAACTCAGCTGGGTCTATCCTCTATACATACTAAGTTCTGGCTGGAACTTCTAGGGTATCAGTGAAAAATCCAAAAAACACAAAAGAATGGCATTGCAATTTTGGTCAATGTGGCATCTATCTTTTTTGAATCTTAGGGGTCTAAGTATCATTAACAGCAGCACTTTACATCTTTCTTATAAATGAGAATTAGTTGTGCAAACGAACAGCTTTCCTCCAGTCAAATGCTGCACACTAAAGATTGACACAATGACATTGGCACGTGATCAGATTTATAGGCAATATACATACTATTTCCCCCTCTTCAACCATTTTATTTTTGTAATGTGTATATGACCTTTCTATATTCCTGAAATTAGTAACTAAAAAATTGTTGGTGGTTGAAAAATGTAATTCAGAAATCAATTTTACACCCTTAAGGAGTTCCATTATATCATGAGAAAACAGTCGTTCAAAAAGGGAAAGCTAGCAAAGTAATTTATACGAGCCTATTTCTTCCAACGATGAACTGCATCTTTACATATCAAAATATTGCCATAATTCATAGTAAATTAACATGGAAAGTCTCCCTTTTATTTATCGCTCTGGTAATTCAGCATTAAATCTGTAAATTTTGGGAAGTTGTATGCTTAATTTACTAGTAAGTTGATACTGTCCAAATTTCCATCAGCAAGTCACTGATAAGTTTTGAACCAAAATTAAACTTCTTGGTGCTACTCTTTGCTCGACAGAATAATGCATTTATATGTATGCTTGATGGAATTTGGTGAGCAAGAAAGTAAAAACAAAGGGCTCAGGTTTGCTTTAGGCTATGAAAGAGGAAAGTCAAGGGAGCTTACACTACAACAAGAGTTGCTAGTTGCGGAAGACTTGTCCCATCCTTGAACATCTTTACCATATCATTGAGCCAAACTGATATTGCTGCACATATGCCTCCAGGCCACATCCTGCACATTGATCACTTGAAGAATAAAAGGGGGGAAAGAAAAAAATATATAAAGGGTTCAACACGGTTTAATGTGATGTGTACCTATGTACATCAAGAGACCAGACCAACTTGTTGACACGAAACAATTCAGGAAAAAGTCCCCTTTTCGTTGCTTCTTTGAGTACCCTTGCTGCACGTGCCTCCTGGCCAAGCCACCAAAGCGCTTCTAAAAGAGTGTTGTAGAATTTCATTCCAAAGCCACAGCCTTCAGAATTAAGTTTGTCAAATACGTATTCTACCATCTGCCAGTTGGAGTCATCATCAAAATCTCCCTTGATCATCTGAGCAATCACTTGATGAATATTGGAAGTCTTGTGATTCAGCATTTCATTCAGCAATTCGTATGCATTGTTTAACCTGAATGGTTAAAAAGCTCGATTGAGACAATGTTTCTTAGAAGGATTAAAATATGTGGCATTGGAGATTTATGTTTGGCACTTGTGCTACAGTCTAAGGTTATAGGTAGAGCATAATATTTTGAGAAAAAATCAGAGCTTCTGATAGAGACAGATTGAAAGCAGCAAGTTTAATCCAGAATAGTATAAATCAAAGAACCACCAAAAATTTATCATAACTCAGTAAGAAACTGTCAGCAATACACTTTTATTTTTACAAAATTATTTTACCAAGCATATAATTACATTTTATTAGATAGAATCTAATCAACATTCCTATAATGTGACAATTTCAACAATAACTAACTTGAAAATTGTATATTAAAACTACGGAACCAAAGAAGACTTCTGTCTAACACATATTCCCCAATGTAAAACAATAGACTTTTACTTTCACTGAAGCACACTGTTAATCGTGATTAGTTCAGTCAGTATCAATCATTGATCATTAATTTTCAATATTAAATCAGCCTTTTCAAGTCATTTTCCCATGTTACAGACAGTAATACCTCTTACTTTTGACTGTGACGTGTGACTTTTCACGCATAACTTCGCTGAGGTCGATTGTATCACAATTTTTCGATATTTGATAAACGATGGTTTGGCTGAAGTAGAAAGAAAAATGCTACCAAGCTGAAACATGGTGTTGAGAGGTTTAGGCAGGTACATTGAGTAAGCCTTTTCTGCCAATAGAATGGAAAATTGGAAGTTTATTTTTGTAGGTTCACAACAATTCAGATCTTTGATTGTTTTTCTGGTAAAGAGTGGATCAAGGTAAATGATTTTTGGAGCAAGTGCTAAATTCATGCAACACCACTTTCTTTCTTAGATTTGGATGAATTGATACGACACTTTCTTTCTTAGATTTGCGGATAAATTGATACCCTTTCTGTTCCAAATGGCACCCAAAAAAAAAAAAAAAAAAAAAAAAAAGAAAAGAAATATACTTCATATGATAGCCTAGGGGACGTGGACTTTTTCTCTACCACTCCTTTCATAAATGGCTGAACTTGTGGTGTCTTATCGATATTTGATAAACGATGGTTTGGCTGAAGTAGAAAGAAAAATGCTACCAAGCTGAAACATGGTGTTGAGAGGTTTAGGCAGGTACATTGAGTAAGCCTTTTCTGCCAATAGAATGGGAAATTGGAAGTTTATTTTTGTAGGTTCACAACAATTCAGATCTTTGATTGTTTTTCTGGTAAAGAGTGGATCAAGGTAAATGATTTTTGGAGGAAGTGCTAAATTCATGCAACACCACTTTCTTTCTTAGATTTGGATGAATTGATACGACACTTTCTTTCTTAGATTTGTGGATAAATTGATACCCTTTCTGTTCCAAATGGCACCCAAAAAAAAAAAAAAAAAAAAAAAAAAAAAAAAAAAAAAAAAGAGAAGAAAAGAAATATACTTCATATGATAGCCTAGGGGACGTGGACTTTTTCTCTACCACTTCTTTCATAAATGGCTGAACTTGTGGTGTCTTATAGATAGCAAACTGAGATCATAGAAAGTACTTCCCCGGCTCCTTTTAAATCACAACATATTTCTCATGAAAAAGAAGCAAAATAATTGTAGCATTATTTATTTGGCCAATGATTCTTTCTATTTCTCCTGATCACACTCCTATTATATTTCTCAATCTCTCCTCATCAAATGGTATCTGATGATTGTGCATCCACTTCACGCATCGATTAATAAAAGAACAAAGGAAGTACTTTGTTTGATATCTAAGCTAAATGACTTTAACACATAATCTAATGCCATTTTCCTACAATCAAGGTTTCACCCAAAATATAAATAAAATAGAGCTACAATATCCCCATTTTTTTTCACCATCTTTCAGGTCCTTTATCTCTCACATTGCTGTTCAGAATCTTCTGAAATAAATCTTTTTGTACTACTGATTTCTTTGTAGGATCCCAAGTCTCTCAAGTATTAGGTCCCCAGAAGATGGTTACACTCAATTGGGGTGTGAGGAGTGTTTTGAGTCATTTTGGTCATAGTTGCTCTTGAAATAATTGTCAACAAAGACACCAGAGACATTCTGTATACATACATATTGAAAAGAAAAAAAAAAAAAAAAAGCTTCATGAGGATATCACTTCACTGTTCTCTGTATTAGATGTCAAAAAACTCATATATTGACAATATTTGCCTTAACTACCAGCTGTAGCATCAAAAAGTAGGTAATCAGGAAACTCAAATAAAAATCCTAAAAGATTTTGGGTTCCAAACACAATATTATAACCCATGCCTTTTGCAAAGGAAGTACTCTGAACTGTAAAATTTCACTGTTCTGATGATGAAGTTCAGAAGAAGAAGAGAAGAAGATAGGGAAGAAAGGGAAGCAAATCGAACAGTATACCTAATTCTCCTACATAAAAGTATATCAAATATTAGATTCCTCAAACCAGTTCATGATATCCTGGCAGCCCAACACTTCTGGAGGCATAACATTGTATGGTTCAAGCAGCAAAATTCTTTCACAATTGCTCTTAGACATGAAAAACTGAAAAGAAAAGGAGAATATTTATACCCGGAAGATTCTCCTATTCACAATGAGACTGACACTAATTTAGAAGTATCCTAGATTTGGCATTTGAAGTATCAATTAAAAAAGAGGAAGGGCAAAAGCTTCTTCCCCAAATTGTTTGCACGCAATTAAATTGACAAATAATACGGAGAGCAGTGAAGTGATATATGTAATGCCCAAATAGAACCAAATTTTAAAAGAGGTACATGTTGCGTATACAAAGCACATGAATCTCAGAATCTAGAGCAGGCTATTCTGGTGTTGATCTTGCAATGCAACATAATTTGAAACACAAAATTAATTAAAATGTTCACTGTTATGCCTGTAGGGGCTCTTTGGAGTTCAAGTATCATCCCATATGACCATATCTATTAATGTAATCACATACTTGAGGAAGAACTCAATTTCTGTTTCAACTGCCTAAAGGCTTAGTGATGGTTACAAGAATTACCTTTAAAGTATAGTATTGGCAAAACCATGTATGTTTTAGAGACTATATTTTCTTCACCTGTAGCTAAATCTAGCAAAACTAAGTGTTTAAGGACATAGGCACATAGCCGTGTCTAATATGGTGATAATTAAATCGGTGTAAGTATACGTCATTCTGCAGGCCCATATCAGTGAAACGTGTACAAGTATATTGTCTAGAAGGTGTGATCACTTTGCTAACTGAATTAATAGGGTGTCAAAAATTTCTATGAGATACATACTTTAAAACCAAGTCACAAAGAAGATGATAGCAAAAAAATCTGACCTGTCAGTTTTCGCATAGACCGCAAGCATCATGCAGTAGCACATCACGCTTGGTAGGATTCCGAATGCTTTGATCTCTTGAAACTGCTCTTCTGCCTCTTCAACAAGCCCAGCAAAGTAGTAAACACTTAAGACTGCCTCAAGTGTTTGCTCATTTGGGTCACATTTTGCACTGTCCATTTCAACATAGGCCTTTATGGCCTCCTCAAACTGACCTCCCTGTCTAAAACCTTCAATAACACCATTAAAAGAATCACTGTTCCTTCCTATGCCAGACTCAATCATCCTAGTCACGATTGCTCCTACCTCCCTATAAAGTCCACCCCTTGCATATGTGTGAATCAAAGAGTTAAAGGTTTCCAAAGTGGGCTTACTTCCCACCTCATTCATAGTGTTAAACGCAACAAGAGCTTCCTCATACAGCCCAGCTTGCCCATAAGCCTCAATAACACCAGTGTAGGCCTTAGCAGTTGGCACCAAGCCTTTTTCACTCATATGTAATAAAACCTCTTTTGCGTCCTGATACAACCCTCCTTTCCCACAAGCAAACACCAACCCTTCATAGGTCTCCATATTTGGCTCGACATTCTCCTCCACCATATCATGGAATAAAGTCACCACTTCCTTAAAATAACCACCCTCGCCAAAAACCTGTATAAGAATATTATAAGTTGCAGCATCTGGCTCAGTGTTGCTCACTTTCATCTCAAGGAAAAGGTCACGAACATCATCATACCTCCCTTGACCACCATACAAGTTCAACAAAATACTATAGGTACTCGCATTTGGCATGCAACCCGCTTCTTGCATCTGCCTAAACACCCCCATGGCCTCTTTAATGGATCCCTTATGTGCATAAGCTTCCAATAACACATTATACGAGGAAATATCAGGCATTTTACCACTCAGTTCCATCTCTTTCAAAAGTTCAGAAACCTTTCCAAGCTCACCTAACTTGCTAAATGTCTCAACAACATAGCTATATGTCGTTATATCAGGCAAAACTCCACTCTCATTCATAGTCCTAAACACCATCTCAGCCTCATCACCCAACCCTCTACTAGCACAAGCGCTAAGCAACGTGTTATAAGTCACGATATCAGGCTGAACCCCTTCATGCCTCATCTCAGCAAACAACCCCAACAACTCCTCCCAATCCAACCCACCCCTAGCACAAGAATTAATCACAGTATTATAAGTCAATATATTAGGAGCCACCCTCTCTTTCTTCATCCTATGCAACAACTTAAGGGCGGTCTCATACTGACCATTCCTACCATAAGCATTAATCAAAGCAGTATACGAAAACACGCTACGAGGTACACTATGAACAGGCATATCATCAAACACCTCATGACATTTCTCAAGCAACCCTTCTCTACCCAACACCCCAATGATTATAGTATATATATGTTCATTAGGTTTGCACCAAATTTGGCGCTGCATATATTTAAACAATCTTACGGATCTTTGCCAATCACCCCTTTGAGCAAATTCCTTAAAAACCAAAGCAAAATCATTAAGAGAAAGCTTACTTTTAAAGGCATCAAGACATCTAGCAATAGACCCTCTAGGAGGAAGACTACTCAACTTATTAATTAAAGTCTCGATATCATAACTATACTTACCCTTTTCAAGTGTGAATGATGGGTTGCCCAGAATTAGGTCTTTGGTTTTAGCTTTGAGCTTGAAATCGGAGGAGAGAGAGTACGGTTTTGAGAAAAAGGGGGATTTTTGGGGAAATAGTAATACTGGGTTTTGAGGGAAATTGGGAAATGGGTTTGGTTTAGAAGAGAGAAAAGGTTGAGAGGAGAGAGAAAGAGTGAAGGTTAGAGTTTTTAGCATGTTGGATTTGAATGAATTAGCATCAGAAATTGGGGAAATTGGGGTCGGAAAATTAGGGTTTATGAAGGGTTTTTGGTGGATGGATTGAAAATTGAAGTTGCAGAGAAAAGGGCGGAAGAAGAAGAAGAAGATGAAGATGAAAGGTAGAATTTGCAGAGGTAGTTTTGGATAACGATGACCGTTGGAAGGGGTGGCTAACTGTTATGCCCGCCCATTAATCTGTTACTCTATATTGAATTAAGCACTTAATTTTTCATTGTTACCGATTAAATTTATTTTTACTGATTTTTTTTTAATATATTTATTCTATAAAATTATTTAATTTTACTAATTTGGTCTTTTTTTTTTTGACAATCATTAAAAAATAAATCTATGACAAAATGTGCAACTCAGTATAATTAAGAGTTACGGAGTATGTACTTATGTATTACGTTTCTCGATTTTTATAGAAATGAAATTGATTTAACAGGATATTACCGGGTAATATTTTGAGGTGGAGAGAATAGGGCCTAATTTAAGGCCGATTCTCTTCGGCTTATTTTCAGTTCCGTTCAATTTAGCTTTAATAAGTTTAGTTCAGTTCTTAGACCATCCCCAATGGTGAGACTCAAGTTTGGGTATAAAAATACAAAATGAGTTGTTTTTTTACCTCCAATGGTGATATTATACACACTTCTCAATTTAACAACTCATGTAAATTCTAATTTTCTAATGGTGAGACTTTCTAAAGTATACAAATATCACTTTCAATTTATGGTCCACCAAATCCATTTCTTTTTTCTTTTGGGAAGGAGTTGTTTTCTAATTTGTATTTATTTTTAAAAAGAAAAGGTAAAACTTAAATATATAACAAAATATGGAGTATATTAAAATATTGACAACAGACCCACATCTTTTGTCAAAAGAAACTCAAAGTTGAGTATCTAAACCTAACAACTTTCTTTTGGATTTGCTAAGTTTAGATACCAACTTATTGGTATACATTGCAAAAAATACTCTCTCTCTCTCTTAAAAATACTCACTTGAGTCTCACCATTGGAGATTGTATTATCTTTAATTTCATTCTCTCATAAAATATATATTCAGTTCAGTTCAGCTTCAATAAATTCAATTTAACTCCAATAAGTTCAGTTCAGTTCAGTCAATCAGAACAGGCCCTTAGGGTCTATTTTTTTTTCAGCTTAATTTCAGTTTAGCTCCTAATTTTCTTCTCTCATAAATAATTCATTTCAACTCTATTCAGTTCAATTCATTTCTGTAAATCAGATTAGGCCCTTAAACTCCTTAAGGCTGTTACATCGAAATGGCTTAAACTTTATTTGTTCTAAGACTAGTACATAATTAAAGTTTGAGCATCTATGTTTTTTTTCATGCTTTAATTTAAGTTATTGAATGGAAATCCAATGAGTTTAAGGGATATGGTAGTATAATTAATTTGCATTGGTAGAAGATGATAACTATTCAAGTTGAAAGAGTATAAAATCAAAGGATAAAGAATTAAGAAATTGCCTATGTGTCAAAAGAAAAAGTTAGAACAATGAAAAACAAAGATGATATACTTATGTGACATTCTAAATTTCTTTCGTATTCCCCTTTTCTAATACGTAGTATAAGTTGTGTAGATATTGATTTGGTGATATAGAACACTGAACTTTGATTATGGCGGGCTATAAAGATGGTCGTATTGTAAATTTTCTTAGTGTTATTTTAATTTTTAAAATTTATTTTTTCTTCTTAGCTTGTTGAATTATTTCCTAAATTATAAAATGACTAAAGAAAATGAAAATTTAAAATCCCTAGCATTTTTTTTAATTTTATTTTTTCAAAAATGTAATAATTCTAATGGCTACCCTAACGTTCCGGCAGTGATGTATCTCACATTTCCACACATATTGGTTCTCAACAAGTAATGCACAACCCTATATTTCTTTTCTTTAAAAAAAAAACAAAAAAAAAAAAAAAAAAAAAAAAAAACAATCAATTTCTATAAGCTTTCTTACTTTTTCTAATGAGAAACCAACTTTTTGCATGAAGATTAAATAACGAAAAGCTTGGTAATTATATTGCAAAAAGAGAATTTGGAGAGGTAAGTTAATAATAAAGTTATTATAAACCAACTGGTGGATTGCATTGTTCTAAATTTTCTTTAAATCATAGAAATTTTATTAATGATTACAATTAGATATTCATCAAGCTAAGCTTGTAACATTACAATTAGATGTTCATCAAGCTAAGCTTGTAACATTATGTACACCCAAAAGAGTGTAAATTTGCAGTTATTATGTGACAAATCCTCTTGTTTCTTTCACTTAATTTGGAAAAATTGATCCGAAATTAACCAATTGAAAATTTGTTGATTTCTTGCTATAAGTTATAAGATCCTATGATTTTTTTTCCCCACTTATAGCTAGCTTTGAATTGTACAATTTTAATTTGCATTGATCCTTAGCTTTGTGAAGAAGCATGGATGATTCATTGTCAATGGAAGGATCTCAACATGGCCAAGGCACGGAATTTGTGCCTTTTCAAACGACTCAGGAATCACTAGAAAATCTATTGCTACATGGGCATCTAGACATTTGGGTGAAGGAGGCTAAAAAACTTCCTAACATGGATCAAATTCATAAAACCATGTCCGGTTTATTTGGGGGACGATTATCAATGCTAAAATCCCATGGAACAAGTGATCCATATGTCACGGTATCCATAGCTGGTGCAATAATAGCGCGAACTTTTGTTATACCAGATAACGAAAACCCAATGTGGATGCAACATTTTTTTGTCCCTGTGGCACATACCGCCCCTGAATTACATTTTGTAGTTAAAGACGACGATGTAGTAGGGTCCGAGATCATAGGAGTCGTCGGTATTCCTACTAAGCAATTGCTTTTAGGGGGAGAAAATAGAAGGGACTTTCCCTATAATGAAAGGAAAAGGTAAACCTTGGGAAAGTGGAGCTAAGTTAAGTGTTTCAATTCAGTACACCCCTGTACAAAAAATGAACTTGTACCACTTAGGTGTTGGTAACGGACCCGAATATAACGGTGTTCCTAACACATATTTTCCTCTAAGAAAAGGAAATAAGGTTACTCTTTACCAAGATGCTCATTATGAAGATGGTATGCTTCCTGATATAAAGCTTGATTATGACAAAGATTTTGTTCATGGGAAATTTTGGCATGATGTATTCAATGCTATTTCGAATGCTCGACATTTGGTCTATCTAACGGGGTGGTCAGTTGTTCACAATGTTAGACTTGTTTGCGATGATCCTAACTTATCTAGTGTTACATTGGGAGATCTTTTGAAAGGAAAAGCACAAGAGGGTGTACGAGTTTTGGTCCTTGTTTGGGATGATCCTACTTCTAGGAAATTTTTTCATCGTACTACTGTAAGTTGATTCTTTCAATTCATATACTCCGTATTATCCAATCATTTTACTTTAACACTTTGTTCATGATATATTTACCTTAATTTATTATACTTCTGATTATACTTATACGACTTTGTTCTATAAATATACTAATACGTAGTAGTATGTAACAAAATTATCGATTTTCATGATTATGTTATTCATGGTATGATTCTTTATTATAATATCGATGTTTGTAGGAAGGCATGTTAGCAACTGAAGATGAAGTGACTTACAAATTTTTCAAGGGATCATCAGTTCACGTAGTACTATGCCCACGATCTGGTGGGAAAGGGCATAGTTTGATCGGAAAACAGGTACTTTTTAAACTTACTAACATTGAATTCCATTTATTTTGTACAAAGATGTTTAATCAAGTCAATTTTAACTAGAATGTTTTATGTATATATGTTTAATTGTTTATGATGGTTAGGAAGCTGGAGCAATTTACACTCATCACCAAAAAACAGTTATCGTCGATGCTGATGCAGGTGAACATAAGCGAAAACTCATTGCTTTTGTGGGAGGACTTGACCTATGTAAGGGGCGTTATGATACCCCGGAGCACTCTTTGTTTAGAACGTTACAAACTGTACACGACGATGACTATCATAACCCCAATATTGCTGTAATTATTCGATCTATACCACTTATACTTAGTTGTTGGCTGATTCACTTGGCTTGTTTAATTTGACGAGTTGATAATAATTTTACAATCCTTGTAGGGTTCAATGAATGGATGTCCTAGAGAGTCGTGGCATGATTTGCACTGTCAAATCGACGGTCCAACAGTATATGACATTTTAACCAACTTTCAAGAGCGTTGGTTAAAGTCTTCACCTCGAGGGATTAAAAAGCTTAAAAGAGCTTATGATGATCATCTAATTCACATAGATAAGGTTCCTAATATTATTGGACAATTAGATGCTAATCACACCTGCAACAACAATGATGATGATGATATGGAGTCTTGGCATGTTCAAGTACATTAATTACTTCACTTACAAATTGCTTAAAGTTTCTTAATAATGTATGATATATAACTTTAATTATAATTGTATTTATGATGATTATCTAGGTCTTTCGATCGATAGACTCCAATTCTGTAAAAGGGTTTCCTAAGGATCCTAAAGACGGACCACAAATGGTTAGATTCTTCTCTTTGACCTATTGTTCATATATACTCCCTTCATTTTGTAACACGTGACACACAAAATTTTTGAGGTTTAAGTTTAGGATATTGTCACTAATCATTATTTTGTGTTTTATGATGGCGCAAAATCTTTATTGTGGGAAAAATGTACTGATAGACATGAGCATACATACAGCATACGTACATGCAATTCGATCTGCCCAACATTTCATTTACATTGAGAATCAATATTTCTTGGGCTCCTCATTTAATTGGGATTCCCACAAGGGCTTAGGTATGATGAGATATTATTATTGAAATTCTTTTCATCTCAAATTAAATTTCCGCGTCTAAATTTGACATGTTAACTACCAATAATAAAATATCTTTAAAAAAATGCTTCATATTATTAATGTTGAAAATAATTAAATACAGAGATAGGGAGGTAACCTTTAAGAATTAGACAAAAAAATTATCAATTACGATAAATATTTTTTGTTAATAGAGTAAATAAACTAATCTTGCGCTTTAATTGTTAGTTTAATCGATCTTTTGATCGAGTTCATTCTCTTATATAATGTTAATTAGAGCCAACATGGTATTAAGTATGGGGAGTTTAATTATGCATCCACATGTTAATATAATCGTATTATTCTTAATCAGGTGTCTTGTCATTTGTATTTGTGTTCTTATTACTATTCGCAATTCAATGCAGGTGCAAATAATTTGATACCTACTGAGATTGCACTTAAAATTGCTGAAAAGATAAAAGCAGATGAAAGATTTGTTGCATATATTGTTCTTCCTATGTGGCCAGAAGGTGATCCAAAAAGTCTTGCCATGCAAAGGATTCTTTATTGGCAAGTAAGTAAAGATTCACAAATTTTATTGATATGCATTCTTAATTAAATTATGGCACATTAAGGATTTTGGAATTTGATCTTCTACTCACAAACTCATAGGGGGATCTTCTCTAACTAAGAATTGAATCATCACGAAATTTTTTTGGGAACTCGAGGCTTTCTCATTTTCGAAATCCTATTACGTATCTAATATTGCACCTTGTTATTGTGCTAAATCCATAATGGATAGACACATGTCTTTGTAGTTTTGGGTTGCCGCATCATGCTTCCCCAAGCTAAATCATTTAAGTTACTATCTCTACAATGACAAGTTACTTCCTTTTGTAATCTTATTACGTCCCACATGATCATATGCTAAAAAAATCCAAATCATTTTTATTGTCTTGGGTAGAGTGAAACTACATAGCTTTGTAAAGTTACGTAGCTCACCAAAGCTACAAGCTTTGTAGCTAGGAGTAATTTGGGTCAGCCGGTCAGGTTCGGGTCAGTTTTCGAGTTATGCTTAGAGACTACTAAAAATAGTGTAAAACTTAATATTATTACGAAATATAAAGTTTGGGTCAAATTGGGTCGAATTTAGGTTCGGGTCGGATCGGGTTCGGGTTTCTTTAGGTAATTTTAGGTCGGGTTCGGGTCGGGTCAAGGGTTGCCATCCCTACTTGTAGCTCCATAATGGCTAGCTTTTAGCTCTAAGTATTTAGAAATTGCTAGTAAATTCAATTCTTATATATGCACGATTATTGTGGATGCTGTAATAAAGCTATAGTTGAAATACAAGGTGGCCCCTTCCATAATGTTTTCAATAACGAAACCTAAGTCGTTTTCATGCCACATATATAACTCTTTATTTAACATTAAGAAAGTTAAATTACCATTTTTACAAAAATACTTTCCCTAAAGATGTTTTTGATTGACATGTTATCTTCATCAATGAACCTAAGTGATCAAGCAACAGATGTTTGACATGCATGCTATCTTGATGAACCTAAAATATTTTTAATCTTTGTCTCTTATACACGGTTGAATACAAGTTTAATAATTTTTTGAGAATAATGCATATATGTTGTTGTAATAGTTGACATCTTATACTCTATTCTTCATTCATCTCACACGGTTATTAAATTTGTTTATATGAATTGTAGTACAAGACAATGCAAATGATGTATCAAATAATTTATAAGGCATTGGTTGAGAAAGGTTTAGAGAACAATTACGAGCCTCAAGACTTCTTGATTTTTTTCTGCCTCGGCAATAGAGAGATTTCAGATGATAATAGTGTACCAAGCGGAAGTGTAAATACTCCATAGGTTGATTTTTCATAACAACACATAATACACTCTCTTAAATTCTTTCTTTGAGTTTTCATCCTTGTTAGTGAATTTTTTTTTTTACATAGGCATTTTTGAAGAAGAATCGACGATTTATGATATATGTTCATTCAAAAGGCATGATAGTGGATGATGAGTATGTGATAATGGGTTATGCGAACATCAACCAACGATCAATGGAAGGTACTCGAGACACTGAAATCGCAATGGGTGCTTATCAACCTCACTATACTTGGGCCTCAAGGAATTCCCGGCCACATGGACAGGTAAAAGTTTTTTTTACGCATTATTTGGTAACCTTGTTGATGAATAATACTTAGATTCTGTTCTCATACGATTATTTTCAGTTCAACTTTAATAAGTTCAGTTCAGTTCAGTCAATGAGAACAGACTCTTAATTAGTTTGAGCAAATAGAACATGTTTAATGTGAGAATTTGTACTTGCAGATATATGGATACCGAATGTCACTTTGGGCAGAGCATCTAGGAACGATTGAGGGTTGTTTTATGCGTCCAGAGAGCCTAGAGTGTGTTAGACGAGTAAGAATATTAGGAGAACAAAATTGGATTCAATTTTCAATTGATGAAGTCACAGAGATGAAAGGACACCTTCTTAAGTACCCTTTGAAAGTTGATAGATGGGGCAGGGTTAGCCCTCTTCCTGGGTCTGAGAAATTCCCAGATTTAGGTGGCAAGGTTATGGGCACATTTTCAGGCATCCAAGAAAATCTTACCATTTAATCAAAAGGGTTTACTCGTGAAAATTCTACTCGTAATAGTGTTAGAAACTTACTGTAAGCAATTTTGATTATGATACTTATTCAATTTGTCATTGAGCTTTCAAATGAACTTTGGTCTTGTTTAATGTTGATAACGCACCAAGTTGAGAGCGTAGATGAATTAATTACTTTAATTGCTGTTGCATTGCAAAAACCTTAGAAAGCTTAATTTTTTATATTCACTAGTGTGACTAACGTGTACCATACCTAGCCATGTTTAAGGAGTTTTGAGTTCTTGTTGTATTAATGAGAGAAAATATGTAAATTCTACCTCCGGTACATATTATTTGCCACGTTTAGACATTTTTCTCTCTACTTTATGTCAAATCATTGCAAATAATATGTAACGAAGGTAGTAAAATTCATCATATACCCTCGAGTTTTCACAAAAATACATCATATACCATTGATGACTAATGATTGTTAACTTTTGTCAATTATTAGGGTCAATTATGACCCGAAACTACCCTAAATACATTCCTAAATTTCTTTTTCTCATCCTCAAAATCGATTGTATGGATATGAATTTTGAGATTTGGAGTGGTTTAGGGATTGGACAAAGGAGAGGAGTGGTTTCAGGGATGAAAGGAGAGATATAAGGTGGTGTCGATGTATAATTAACCAAATTCCACTCATCTTGTTGTCATTAGGGTATATGGTGAAATTTTGTAACAACTCAATGACATATGGTGAATTTGAATATTTTCATGAGTATATGGTGAATAAATAAAAAAACTCAGGACTATGTGGTGAAAAAATCGCATTAATAATCTATTCATCGAGATGGATCAAATAAGACCCAACATGATTATGTTATATCCTATATATTAAGAGTAATTTAGAAGATTCTCTCACATTATAAATAGTGTCAAAATTACAATCGAGAAGTATTAGAAGGGGCCAAGGGAGTATAAGGTAGGGACTGAACTTTTTGATGTGAAATTCACATACTCTCAAAAGACAAATATGAGCTAGAATTAGGTTAGGTTGAAAATAGGCCAAATGTTTTGTCAAAAAAAAAAAAAAAAAAAAAAAAAAAGATTATAGGCCAAATGTAAAGAAAAAGTTGTTAATAGTGGGAATCAAAAACCGTTAATCAAATTGAAACTCCAATTTCTCTCTAATGTGGGGATGTGGGCCCCACCACCCGGTAACCCGTAAGTCTCCTCCCACCGTCCATCCGCCAATTTCACCACTCGGTGCCCCTTCCACTTCCCAAAACAAACAACTCCTAAAGGGTAAAACAGTAAATTCACCCTCCTACCAGGCTACCACAACCCTTATAATTCAAAGGTCCATTAAAATTCAACTAGTCACGTGCCAAAACACACGTGACACTCACACATTCCTCCCTCTCACAATCCACGTCATCAAAAGTGGGACCCAATTCCCCTCCCCTTTGGCGCGCTTGCAATTTCGTCCTACGTGTCACCCTCGTAAATAACCCAACACTCAAGGGTAAAACAGTAAAAACAGTTGGAAGTAGAGAAACACTAAAACAACTTTCAGTTCATAACAGACAGAGGCAGCAAACAGCAACACACAACAAAAAAAAAAAAAACAAACTTAAAAACTCAACTGAAGAACAACAAACATTAACAACAACTTCAACAAACAAAACCCAGAAAATACGGGAAAACCTATGCATTTATCCTACGATTAATCAAACTACACTTCAATGGATGAAACTCAGGTAATCTTACTCTTATGTTCCCTCAATTTCTCCGAACAAAATTCCCTTTTATTTTTTTAATTTTAAAATTCATCAACCACTTTTATAAACAGTGTATTCAGTTCTTCCAACTACCTTTTTATTTTTATTTTTTTGGAATTTGGGAGATTTTGATGATTTTTTAGATTAATTCAATGGATTTAAGAAATGGGTATTGATTAATTTTCAAAATAAATTTGAAATTTTTGTGGTTTTTTTTTTGTCATTTTTTTTGATTAATTTTGTAGAAAATGACGGCGTTGAAGAAGGCATATGCGGAGATTATACTGAATACAGCAAAGGAAGCGGCGGCGAGGATAATGGCATCAGAGAGAAAATCACAACAATTTCATCACGATCTTACTTGTACTAAAGAGGAAGCTCTTCGTCTTTTACTCCGTCAAAAACAAACTATGGATGCTAAAGTAATGTGGTTTTTGAATGTTTCGATTTTTTCATTGGATATGTTTATGTTTTCTTTTCTTTGTTGGGTGTCAAATCTTAGTTTATGTGTGTTTTCATTTTTGGTTGATTGTGTTAAATTTAGGGTCTTGAGTTTGTATTGACGGATATGAAGTTGTGTGTCAATTGGGAAATAAGGGGTAGTGGAATAAGTGGATTGTGATTTTCTAGTAGGTATTGAAATCGACAAATCGTGTTGTGATTGGAGAGGTTTCGGGTTGGATGATCTGTTTATGATGTTTTGTTGGCAATTTTGGGATCATTCTGAAATCTGATGTATTGTTGATTGTTCTGCTGGCAGCTGCCCTGTTGGTGTTAATTTCTGCTTTGGTTTCGAGGATACTATTGAAGATCGCCTTACACCGTGTGTATGTGTGATCCTCGGCTTTGTTTTTTGTTTCATTGTACTTGTGAAGTGTGGTCAGTTTTGTGGGAATGTGCTTTTGTTTAATTTACTGGGAGGTGATTTTCTTCTGTGTTTGTTTCGAGAAAAGCTTTGAATGTGAATATTTTTTTTGGTGTTCTACCCGGTTCACCCCTTGGGCTAATCCAGATTCGGATCAGTTCTGGGTGGTTAGGTTCCAGTCCCCTCCCAATTGTTATTGCGGGGGATTGAACACAGGTCCTCCCTACCAAGTGTAGTCCCAATCACCACTACACCAACATCCAATTGGTTTTGAATGTGAATATTAATTGCCTGTTAATCATGTTTGATTACAGGGTCAAGTGTTCAACTGTTTTATCAGTGCAAGATTTGTGTTTCTAATCATTGCATTTATTCGTTTTTTAGTTGAAAGTTGAACGATCATAGTTTCTGATAAGTCATGTTTATCACTATGAGTATGCTATAATATTTTAGTACGAAGTCTAAATATTTTGGCTTTGGTTATGTCAAAGTTGTCAAAGTTTAATAGTGAATTTCATCCGACTAAGATGTATATATGTATCTAATTTTAAGATTGTAGCTGATTTTTTAATCCCAAATTCCCAATTAAGCTAAGCATGATTCTATTGAGTCTTATCTTATTATCAATATATATACAAGCTCTCTTACAGCATTGCAACTTTGCAAGTGCTTACTTGCACTGTTACTAAGCAAGTGATCAATGCAGAGATTTTTCATCTTTATCTTGACTTCTTCTGCTAGCTCTCAAAACACTTTACGTGTTACATATATTGATAATGTGATTAAACTTGTATAATAATTTCTGCATCTTGGAAAGAAGTTACTATATCTCTGATATTATAAAGGGGTTAAGCATGTGGATTGGAAACTTGATTGATTGCCTTCGGTTTATTGTCAGATAAATGAAGCGGAGATGAAATCCTTAAACCAACAAAGAAGAATAGAAGAGCTAGAAGCTCAGCTTCAAGAAGCTGAGGATATAGTGAGTAACCTTAGAGTAGAGCTGAATGAGGCGCATATGAAGTTGGAGGAAGTGGAAAATAACCAAACAAAGAATTCACCAAATACGACCGAAAGGGCTCACAGTGAAGAAGCAACAGAACAGCCTGATAACGGGCTATCTGAAGCTGTCTCTGTCGCACAAACTAATTCGTTGGACGTATCAGCAAATGGGCGTAATGTTTCAAAAAATTCTTTAGAGGAATTTGGTTTTTCTAGTGATCCTGTTGTTCCTTCAATAATTATGAGAAGCAAAAAACCTGAGCTATATAGAAACGGCTGCACGCAAAGAATACGTGCGTATGAAGGGAGTCTTGTAAATGGCCATTTTTCTCTGTCTGGAGAGTCGGATGATTTGAAAAATGAGAAAGCTATAAGAGAAGTTAAAGAAAGTGACGGGATGTACATGGCTCCCGTAGTTGCTGATACTACATTTTCTTCAGGGAAGAAACCTTTCGACAATCAAGGAGTAAAACATGTGGACAGAGGTAGTAGCTTTGTACAAGAATTGAAATCACGCTGTCGTGGAAGAAAAAGAGCTGTTAGACACAGAAGACGATATGCTTCCACGCTTAACACTATTCCTCATTTGGCCAATGAAACCTTTTCCAATCTTTCAAACTCTCAACCTTGCTTAACTGGTGATGAACATAAGGAAACACTCCCACGCTCACCGTCAATATTGCAATCAAGTGTTTCTGAGATGGGAATATTGTCAGAACAGGTAGCAACTGCCCGAGCTGATGAAACTGAGGTTCATGCAGCTGTGGCAAATGAAGATACAGATATAGCTAGTAGTTTGGAATTGATTAAGCAGCAAAGTGGTTCTGGGGATTGCTTAAATGTTTCGAGTTCAAAACAAGATCTTAAAAGTAGTAGCATGCTACAAGCATTAAAACCACGCTGTCTTGGCAGAAAACGAGCTGTTAGATGTAGTAGGAGAAGAGATCTTTCTGCATTTAGCGTTGTTCCTCTTCTAGCCAACGGAACACTTTCCAGTTTTTCAAACTCTCAACCATGCTTAGCTAGTTCCCATGACTTGCATGAAACTAATGATGGATCTGATGATATAGATAAGAATACACTCTCAAACTCATCTTCAATATTACAGTCTAGTGTTTCCGAGATATCAGAACATGTACCAACTACCCGAGGTGATGATACTGAGGTTTGCGTAGATGTGGTGACTGAAGAAACAGATGTAGCTGCTAGTTTGAATTTGATTAAGCAGCAAAGTGGTTCTGGGGATTGCTTAAATATTTCGAGTTCAAAACAAGATCTTGAGATGAGTAACTCTTCTTCAGTAAACCTCAATTCTACGCTGCTGGAAGCTGGTAATGTTTTCTCTAGTCCCCCACCAAAAGATAGGGTTCTTAAGTATACTTTCCAGAGAAAACGGAAGAAGGAGTCCGTAAGTGGTGATTATAGCAGTTTGCACCAGGAGAGTCCTTTGAAAAGAATTATGGTAAAGAGGCAGGATGGTGATCTTGAGCCCCCAAAATCTAGTGACACGTCTGAATCATCGCGAGATAGTCGAAGGATGGCACAAGTGGCACGCCAGGTTGGTATTTGTCTCTCAAATATATGAAGTTCTATTTTCCATGATTTGGCAAGCTTAATATTTTGGAATTACTTTTGATTGTTTTCACAGAACTCCATTAAAATCTAGTTGATCTTGTGGGCTGGCTCGTTTAGTGCTGATATGTGACAGTGCCTGCATCATTGTAGCTACCTTTTAAAATGATATAATTATAAATGAATAGATAAATAAGAGGCATGCTAAGCTATAACAATGAACTCGAGTTACCATAAATTATTTGTTGACGTTTGAGTGATGTTGAATGTTAAGAAAGTTGATTTCCTCTAATGATGTCCATTTTTTAGCCTAAGGTATACGTTGAGTGGATGATACGATCTCTTAGGCCTTTCTTTGTTTATAGAATAGATGCACATACATAGAGGAAACATATATACTATGCGCAGGGCTGCTGCTTATTCATTTCATGTATCTTAATTTGTTAGTCATCCTGCGCAATTTGTAGAGAGATAATTGATCTTGTTATTAGGTTTCAAAGAGATTAATCTTCCGACTACATGAGGTTATTGCTCAGTCTATATTGCATTTTAAGCTTTATCTCTTCGTGCATAATAAATTTGGCATATTCAGATTTAAGAAGCGTTAAGTCTTTGGATGCGCTTAATAGATGCATACATGCAGAACTGCACTTGTTCTCAATGGGATTAAGAGAGACAAAGTTGTGTTTATATCTAGAGTTTTCATGAGTATGCTGCAGAACAATGGAAGATGGAAGATCTGCTCCAATCCAACTGTATATGTATCTTAATGACCAATCTTCGAGCTTATTATATGCTCCAGTTGGGGTAGCTTGAACAATTTTAAGCTCTTTGTCTGTGGCTGGTGTGTTTTCTGATAAGAGAATTTTTTGCACTATGGCTTATCTCTATTGCTTGGTTGGATAGAGATTTAAAATGGGTGTCGAGGATATGAGAAAGACGGATAGGGAGGTACAAAAAAGTACAGGAATATCTGATGCAAGATTTGGGATGGAAAGATTATGTGGGAGGGGGAGAGGTGAAGAGATTAGGGTTAATTTTTCATTGTTTGGAGGTTTGGAAAGATTGGAAAAAGCAGAGAGGAGGGGTTTATTACTTAATTAGAATATTAGGATGGAAGCTTCAAATAATACAACTAACGTATTCTTGACCCCGAGAATGCAATTGGATTAACGTTTTAGGATTTCCCCTGAAATCTGGTATTCATAAGGAGAATGCTAGCAACAAGTGACTAAAAATTCACCCCATACTTTGAGGTCTAATCTTCATAACTTTCCTTATGGTGTGGTGCGAGAAAACTCAATTTTTTTTTTTATTTTTTTTATTTTTTTATGTAGTAATTAGATTACTATTACTCCCTCTGTCCCCAATTGTTTGCCCCAAACCATAAATTCACTTTATTAATGCTTTGGGAAAAAAATGGTGCACATGGGTTGACACAAATATCAATGAGGAGAGAGATAGAGAGAGTGCATGTGAGAAAACATGCCATAAGTAGTATGGTGCAATCTTTTGGGGACAGAGGGAGTATATGGTTAAGTGTTTTATAACTTTTAGGGCTTATGCTAGTCAACTAAGTCTATATAAAGGGACACTTGTGATTCCTATACTCGATTGAATTGTAAGTTAGCGAGATTTAACTTCCTTAGTCGAATTCAGAGTGATACATATACCTTTTAGTGATTTTTATGAGCAATCAAGATTATTAATTGAGTACCTATGTCAGGAGTGATTTAGGAGAATTGAGAACCAATTGAGCAAAGTGTCTTATTGGTGAATATTTTGGGTTAATTCCATATGACCTTTGCCCAACCCATTTGTTATTCATACCATGGAAAATAACCTCCCCCTCTCTCTCTCTCCCTCTCTCTCTCTCTCTCTCTCCTCAACCCCATAAATCAAAAATTAAATTTGCTTGCAGAATAAAACAAATTATTAAGGACAAAATTAGTGGATCTGCTTGAAGATGCATTTCTAATTGGTCATTACTCCATCAGTGATTTGTGTTGCAAACAAAGTTAAGTCACTTTTTTTTTTTTTTTTTTTTTTTTTTTTTTTTTTTTTTGTGTGTGTGTGTGAGGGGAACAAAGTTAGTCACTTGAGAGAGAGAGGACTTAAGTATTTAGAGTTTTAACCCAAATTCATTGGATGGCTACATCAGCTGAAAATATCCAAACACTATTGTCTAGGGGCAAACTATGTGATAACTGTGGTTGTCTCTGTACTCGCGTAACTTTGTATGCATTCTTAGGATTTTTTGCTAATCGTGATTGCTGAATCCTTGGAATGTATCCTAAATTCCTAATATAATCACTAGGTAACTGTTGGGTGGTATGCGTTTGAGATTCTAGTCTGTATGGCTGATCGATACTATCTTATTGTATTTTATTTGGATTCTTGAAATTTCTCATCTGTATGTGCAAACGTATATGTCGGATAAAAACTCATTTATGGATACAACTAGAAGTTTGTTTGGCACTGCTTTTCATTTAGCTCATTTAGGAGGAGCATTCTTTGATGAAGTAGCTGTAATGTTTGTGTCAAACACGTGGCAGTTTCCATTTTGGGACCATGTCATCATTTTTATTACTACCTCCGTTACATATTAGTTGCAATGATTTGACATAAAGTATAGAGAAAAAATGTCTAATCGTTGCAAATAATATGTAACGGAGGTAGTATATTAGCGGTACTATGTAGTTTGAATTATTTCACAAAAGAATCATGAACTTTGGAAAAATAGTGTTAAGATATCATGGTACCTACATGAAATTCAACCTAAAGAAAGATCAGTAAACCATATTGACAATTTTTAATAAGAAAACCAAAATAAACATGTACTAATAAATAATTGTCTATAAGATAAGGTTTTAGTTTTCTGTATCGATAATCTTGGTAGCTCTATTGTTCAAGCAGTAATTATTAAAGTTTTTATGCTACACTAGAAGAGGGAAATGGTAGTAGAGAGAACATCCACCAGAGTTAGTTATAAGAGGGATAATCTAGTAATTGTATGAGACGCTAGTTAGAGTGTTGGAGTAGAGATCAAGTCAGGCAATTGCGAGGAAATGAAAGGAGATAGGTTTTGTATTGCGGGGAATTGAGAAAAGTTTAGAGAGAAATAGTTACCTTGGAGAGCACCAAGCCACTAACCTCTCGAATGTTGGCTATGTTTAATCGGTGACTTCCACCTTGACTATCATTAATACAATCGTGTCATACTAGTTTCCCTTATCTGATATTAAATCTTCTCAAGTCCTCAAAATTTTCTGTTCTAGTAAGAGTAGCTAAGGATCATCCTCATTATTAGCATACATATGGTGCTGAACTGCTCATGTATATTTCACTGGGGTTTGGTTTATATCTAATTAAGTCATGACAGTGACATTTGTCTTTTTCTCGAGATTCATTATGAAGGCTTGCCCTTAATGCAAAAATGGGAACTATGATATTGTGATGTAGTTATTGATTGGTTTAATCTTTAGAAATAGTGCTCATAGGCAATAGTTAATGGCTTTAACATCGAGGCTGGACTTCTGTTATTCTAATGGAAAAACAAAGTAAACTGGCTGTTTAGCTGCTGAATTTGCTAATATAGCTGCTGTTCGTATTACTGCAATTTTGCTTTTATGTCTATATCCTGTGATCCTGTCTATTGGCATTTGGCAAAGGCATCTACCTAAAGAATTTAAGTTGGTAGAGTTGTATGTAAAATTCTGACTTTGAGTTTGTTTTCTATTGATTGCTTCGATGTTTAATTTGGAAGTTGTGGCTTGTTCTCCTTGGTCAATTGAATGTAACTGTCTGTTTGGTTTTACAATGTTTGATGATGATGATGACCTGAGCCTATTATTTATTCAGGACTCTGAATATTGGAGGGATCTCCAACCAAACTCCCCTTGTGACCTATATTGTGTAGATATCCACTGACATGTTCGAAAATTATCTAGTTCGTTGTTGGAATGTTTTGTAGGCTGTAATCCTTTCCATATAGGCGAACAGAAAGAAATCAATTTCCAAAATGATGGAATATTACCTTATATTACTTGTAGGTAGAACTCGACGCCAGGTAGGGAAATCTTGTGAAAAGATAATGTCTTTTTGCAGTTTTGCTAGTAGTAGCCGTAGTAGGAAGGTTACGCAAAAGGTTGCTAGTAATATGCTTTCATAGTTTCATACCTCAATAATTCGATGCAAAAACTTGTTTGATAGTAGTTCCTCGAAAAACATTGTTTAAAAGTATTTTTATACATTATTTTTTTTTTTGGGTTTTTTGGGTTTTATACATTATTTTTTTTTGTATATTATGCTTGTATCTCGTTACAAGAAATAATATTAACCCTTCATGCAGCACTTGTTTGTAATACTATGTAATTACTTTACAGTGAATTTTATGCATTTTCGTGGTTAAAAATCCACAGTTACCACTTTTATCCTGTGAATATAATAACAGTGCTATCTATTGTATTTGCAGCTCATATCGCTGTCTGAGAAGAAGTGGTGGAAGTAGTTAACTAGTTCGTTGCTTGCTGAAAAACCAAAGCCTAAGGTTACGTGAATTTAGATGGAACAACCTTTCAACGTCATTGTTGATGTGAAATTAGCACCTGATTTAACAACCACAGCGGCTGCTGCTTCTATAGAGAGGGATGGAGGGAGCTATAAATTAGCTCAGATTAATTAAGTTTCCGCGTCACATTCAATAAAGTAATGTTCTTATTTGTTATAGCATTTTCCAAATATCTTTGGTTAATACAAAGATGAATCGTTGTCACTTGATTATGTTGAATGTTCTTGACAATTAAGAAGTAATTACTACATATATATAGTCATTGATTTTACTACTACTCTGTATAAGTATGGAGTACAGTATTAGAGTATTTCTTCAAAGATTTATCTTAATTACCTTGCATTGTCAGGTTATCTAAAGCTCTTTCAAGTTGTTTTGATTACTGTTGTAACCTAAACAAATTTGTTTATTAATTAGGGATTTCGTTCTTTAATTAAATTATAAAACTTGTTTCAATTTTTGGGTCTTGAATTAATTGGATATAGTATGCAGAAGCTAACGACCTAATTAAGTCTATTTTCCGACGTTGACCCTTTATTTTTCGGTGTTGACCTAGGTATGCTTGACTTCAAAGTATCCTAATTGTACACCATTTCCCTCCAAATCGCTTACGTATAACCCCATTCTCTCACTTCCTTAAAATGGTAAACTAAGCAAGCAACTAAATAAGCATAAGTAGTACTTCATCTACGTGGTTGACCTTCAGGAGATGGCCGAGGGATACCCCCCCACCCCGAAACCCAAGTGGTGTAGTAAATTTTGCCCTCTTTGCTCTATAATCATAGGACAATTATAATTTTGCCCTCGTTGATAGCAACTAACAAGGCAAACTATAACTCGCCTTCCTTGACTGATTAAAGTCGCCCTCTTTGATCTTTTTTCTTGTAGTGGTGGGGGCCCTCTCCGTATTTTACCGATTAAAAAAAATGTGGTTAATCTTCAAAACCCTTCTATAGAATTGTCAAATATCAGAATTTTCTTCTTTTATTCGTCCTCCAATTTTCTTCTTTAGTCATGATTAAAGTCGTATCATTTCCCACCAAAAGATCAGTCCAACTGTCCAATGATGCTTGAGAACGAAGAGGAACACAAACTAAGTATCACCCAATTCAAGCATTTATAACAATTACTTAGTTTGTGTTTCACCCTTGATCAAGAATCGTAATTACTTATTTTGCTGCACTCGTTGATTCTTTCAAAAATCAACACAAACTATATATTTCGTATATATATCACCCTCCAAAACATGAAGAGGGTTCATAAGCTCATTTCTTTCAGTAAGGACAATGTTTCAAGTAGTTGCATTGATTATACGTAGTATTTGTGTTTTTATGTCTTATAATACATATATATTATATACGAAGTATATTTTATTCTTATTGAAGAACATATTAGATTATAAACAATCGTCATTCTAGATTTCTAGTATAAAAAATAAGGATTTTGTTACTATATATACATGTTATCCTCATGAAAACTTTATTATATATTATTATTATTATTATTATTATTATTATTATTATTATTATTATTATTATTATTATTATTATTATTATAAATTTAAAAACAAACACATTCGTATTAATTGAATTCCTTTGTTATTAGTTGGATTGTAAAAATTCTTGTGCAAAATTATATGTACATATAAATGGATTAACATTATTTTTTTCCTTTCTTATTTCAAGATAAAAGTAAGTTAGTATTATTTTTTTTTTACTATCACGAATATGAATCTTGGTTAAAAGTATTTTTCTAATTAAATCCAATAAAAATTATTATTACTACCATGGTGCATGGATGATCCAATTGTTTTAAAGCATGTGCATGATATTTTAATATAGGGGATTAACTAATAATGTCTGGATTAATTATAATTCATTTTCACGATTATTGCATCAATAATGCATGTAATATCGATTGGCAAAGATTGGAAATCAAGATTTCATACAAGTTGTTACGTTTTCCCCTTGTTTTTCTTAACTTCGAAATTCAATTCTCATATTGAACTCAAACTTATTGCATTGAGCGCGCGCCCGCACATACTTTCCTTTTTACATACACACGTACGGGACTATATGATATAAGAAATTGCATAAAATTATGAACTATAAACGAACATCATATCATATCGAAATACCAAATATGAATTGAAATAATCCATTCAAACGAGTCTACAATAAAATGCAAAAATTCTTGACTACAAAGATAAACTTGACCTTATTACATCACGCTAAATAATTGTCCAAAGAAATCACACAATCAAAGTTTATATGCTTTGATCAATAAAGCTAACCAAGAAAATTAAAAAACATAGATCCAAAAACTACTAGTAACAAACATGGATCTATGATTATTATGCAAATGATCAAGAACATGAATAAACTTGGGAATAATCTTGTAATTGTTTGATTTTCATACCTAAAATACTCTTAATAATAATTCTCATCATACTTTCTTATTAGCTAGCTTATTAGATGAACAGCTTGAATAATCACGTACAATTAAATCTTCAATTCCATGAGATTCTTGACCATCCACTTCGATTATCTTTAAACCTTGGTCTATAGCCCTTGGAGGCGGCGAGTTCGCGACAACTATGCTCAGCAACACTACAAACATCGTAGTAAAGACTACCTAAACACTCAGCCATGGTGAGGTTGTAAGGTTGGACGTGAACGTGATCATTAGCTTCACTGTAGTACTTGTCGAAGTCGGTGTCGAAGAAATAATGAGGGATGCCCGCCATTGTTGTGTTCTTGATTTTATGTGAAATGACTTAATTAAGGAGGAAAGAAATGAATTGAAATGAAGAAGATTACTAGCTAATAGGAATTTTAATACATGAACATTTGGTTATTATAATTATATTATTGCATGGGTATTTATAATATAAGATAGATGGATAGGGTTACTTTTTTAGGTCAACTTATGGCTACAAATTACAATGGTCTAGGTTTAGGAAGGCAAAGAGTATCTTGTTTGATTTAGGATTAATTAGGCCTTTCTTATTTTCACTGAATGGTAAATTAATTAAATGTTAGTATTTGATAATAAGAAATCATATTGTGATGTAGTTTATAATAGTACTATACAAGATTAAAAAAAAAAAAAAAGTAGTATTAGTTAATACTGTATGATTTTTATTTTAAAGAGAAATCAACAAAGATAGTGAAAGTCAAATGTGTGAATACATAGTCTATAAGTCAATGAGAGTCTTTTATATTATCTGGTTATCTTAACACGATTATTAACTCATCAAAAGAGTGTTGTTTGCATTATTGATATGGAGTTGCATTTATTTAGTATATTCCGTATACAATCGCGTATTACATTAATTTCCCTTGTTTAAAGCTAGAATTCGAAAACTATTACATACGAGTACGAGTAGTACTCATATTGTAACGCAAGTAAAAAAAAAATTATTATACACCCGAGTGTGCGTAATGGAGTATGGCTGTATGGACTCAAGGCGACACGGGGACACGGCCCATATTTAGTTTGACCAAAATGAAAACAAAATCAAACAAAATCAAGAAAAATTGTTGTGAAAATAAAGAAGAGATTTTAGAGAGAAATGGGGGCAGCAAGCAAGGTAGGAGACTGGGCATTCAAAGGGTTTACGGCAACACTGGGATTGGCAACCATCTATCTCACCACCACTTTCTCCTTTAATGTTTACAGAGGTCTTTCTTGGCATAACGCCCAATCGGTATTTTTCTCTCTTTATTTTAAACCCTACAATTTTCCCTTTTTTGTAGATTCACTTTCATACCCTTTTCTGCTAATTTCTTGTTTTTTTGATTAACATCTTGAATTTTTCTGGGTACCCTTTTAATTTGGATATAGTAGTTCAGCAATTTGAGTTTTGATTTTATGTAATGTTGCCATGTATCGAAATATCTTTCTTGTTTCTCGATATTTTGATTTTTTTTTTTTCAATTTTAGATTTGGGTAGTTGATTAATTCTTGAATTTTGAGATTAGCTAAGTCATCATGATCGTACGGATTATGAGTTGGTTTTTATTGCCCAATTTGCATAAGAAAGTTGCTTAACTAGTTGTGCAAGACTTTCAGGTTTGTGAAATTGTAACTTGTAAGTTAAGCTCCCGTACTATGTAGAATGACACTTTATTTTGTAAAAATGTTAGTTTTAGGGCTTAATTCCTTTTGCTGAATTGGTTACAGCCTATAATTTAATAATTGGAATAAGGGCTTGTTTATGTGAGGGCAGATCATCAAAAGTGTATCATACAAAGGTCTTTTGCATCTCTTAGGAAGATTTAAGGACTTCGACGCGACCCCCAACCCGCGAATTTGCTCCATTAATTTCCAAGGTTCTATTTACTGCGGAGTGTGGATGAATTTGGTTTTCATAATTATGTACATGGCTGTGCTCTCCTAATTCTTTTGGTCTTTATTGCCAGACCTATGACTTAACTGTGGACTTCGGTTTGTGGATTTACTTTAAATAGGTCTTTTTTTTTTTTTTTTTTTTTTTTGAACTATCTAGGAATCTAGAGTAGAGGCTTGCGGATTTGAAATTAACCGAATATGAGTTTAGTTGATGATTATGATGAATTTGGGCTTAGCCTAGGAGATTGATTTGGCTGTATATATCAAATGGAAAAATCAGCTGTTTTGATTGCATTTTTGTTTGTACCCACTACTCATTGATGGCATTGCAAGTAGTCATCTCTGCAATTAGTTGCACTTAACAAAATACTAGAAGTTAAGCCATGTCTGATTGTTAGAGCTTTGCAAAAGAAAATTTTAAGCGGAGATTTTTCCCTAGACTGCCAGACTGTATTCAACTTAGCTGTGACTAGTAGGAGTGTTAGAAAGAATTCAATCATTTTAATATCAGTAATGCGGCATTTGGCAGCAAGGAATTTCTTTCTTCTGGTATTTGGTTCACAGTTCTTTTTTGGATCAAATGGCATCCTTCCACTTTTAACTGACTAATGGAATTGTGAATTGTGACTTGTTGAGTTTTCTTTATGAATCTTAATAGGTAGAACATAGAAGAGTGTTCAGAGAGTGACTGTTTGCTGTACAATGTTGTTGGTAAAATCTTCGTTATCTGTTCTGGAAAGTTGTGCACATTCACATTAGTTTCTTTTCCAGTGCAACAAATTTTTCCTTGGTCTTTTTTTCCCTTCATGACGACACAGTTAATACAAGTCCTTGCCTTTTCTTGATTGCTGTCCTGGCTATGTGACTCCTCCTTCCTGTTGTTGATTGCTTCGGCAGTGACTGTGTGACATCATTAGTTTTTGGTTTCAACTTCCTTTTATCTCCCTTCTTAACCTCTCTATTTCACTTTTCCATTGTGAAGAGTCATCTGATCTCTCACAAGTTCCAAGTGAAATTTGCAGTTAGTATTCAGATTGTGATTTAAGACCATGTTATGATGTGCATAGCTCTTCTCATTTAGACATGTGAAATCTCTCTTGTTAAATGTATACTACAGATGTTGTGATTGGTATGTCCTTTCAAGTTTTTGGATTAGAGGAATTAAATTCTGAAATTGTGAAAGTGCTTGAGAAAACAACAGTCTACTCTGTTTTTAGTATGGACTGTGGAGTAACTACTATTCACTGGAAAAGCTTTCAGACAGTAGACACTAGACACTAGATGAGTGTTGCATTTCTTGAGAATATTGAGCCCATCCTTGATCATTGTTTTGGAAGATGTCACGATTCACGTTAATCTCTGATTTATTTTTTGCAGAAATTGAGCAAGGAAGAGCAAAATGATCAGAAAAATGCGGCCTGAAATTTTGTAATTTGCCATCACATGCTGAATAAACGCCCTTTTGTTTTATGCAATATTTTTTTTTATATTTTTGATAAAGAATACATGTTAGACAAGTCATATGCACAAATCACAAAAATTACTTGGTAGGAGTCTGAAACTGTGTATTGCAAACTTTGTGCATCATGTATGGCTTCTTTTTGAATGTAATACGATATATTTGCACTGAGAAACTTGATTAGTAAAGCTATGATTTGCAGCTGATTCAGTTTGGTTTACACCATCCAAGTCATGTTTAAATTCCAGGATTGTACAGGTTTAACCAAACACCAACATGCTATTTACAGTCACGGCCTTTTGCTCACAAAGATACCACCATCTTTTTTGCATCCATGATTTATTTGCTTATTTTTATTGGATTTGCTGGTGTTGTAGCGAAGTAGTAAACCTGACTTAAAATGGAAAAAGAATTACGCTATTGTGCTTGTTTGAGTCCAACATTGAGTGAAAAAATTAGAGACAAAAGTTGGTTAACTGTTGTTTTTTCTTTTACTCCGTATGATTTATGACAACTGCGAAAGCAGAATAATCCGTACAACATAAACAATAAGAAAGAAAATACTGGTAGTACTCGTATAGTCGTTTTAGCCATCTCATAACCGTGTTGCACCTGATCTGGTGATCCCTACCTACTTTGGAGACGGTGCAATGCGCAAATTTCGAACCTTCCAATTTGATATCTTGTATTTCCCTTTTTGTATCAATACGATTGTGCTCCCTTTGAAGTGCTTGAACTAGAAGCCCCTTTTGTGTCAAGTACACAGTTGTGTTCCCTTGAAGTGCTTCAACTAAAAGCTCTTAATAACACGCCATGCTTTCTTTATCCCTACAATTTGACAAACAAAGGGATTAAACCCATGCCCATAATAAACACTTTGATCACTAGAACAATTTTATTTTGCTTTATAATTATGCTGCAGAGAATTATTATAACCAAATTTTTATAAAATTTGTCCTCGCCTGACTTCGCCAGTGCCTCTATCGACAACAATGATAGAGTCAATGAAAAGGCCCAACCTATCACTATGCTACCATTTTCTTTTTCCAAGAACCATCAAGTTGAATGATAGTGGAAAACTGTAGAAAATTTGAGCTTTCATCTGGGCAATAATGGTTATGAAATTATATTAATCGTTCGTTTCAATTAATTGGGTTAATACTATTATTGAAACAAGCTTCACATTTCTTTATTCATAAATAAGAGAATTGTTCCACAGTTCCACTATCGTTAGTCGAAAAATCAAGTTTGATTTGCCACCTATACAAAAAAAATATAGTTTTTGAACCATAATAAATTTGAGACCAGTTTCAAATAAGTCATACTGGTGTACAAAACTAAGTTCTCATCAATCTTTAACACGAAAGACATAATCAAATTTGATTCAAGAGAGGTAAAACTGTAAAAGTAAGAACAAATGAATTCAACGGTATACATGTAATATAACCCCGTCCCATTTTAACCCTTTGGAAAATCACCCACTTATAATGTCATATAAGTATATAACCCAACCTGTCTGCACCAAGGAAAAAAAAAAAAAAAAAAACTAATTAGTATAATTTGATACAAATTACCCATAAACCTAGTAGGACCCTTATTAAATAAGAGCCCAGGCCCAACAAAACCTTAAGATTACAAAGCCCAAAAATCCAATTCACTCAGAACCCTAATTTTCCCCACAAAACCCTATAACCCTAACTCCTTTCTCGCCCTCCTTCATTTCTCTCTGCCGCACAAACCCCCTGCCTCCAAGGAGAGAGAGAGAGAGAGAGAGAGAGAGAGAGTGAGAGAAGAGAGAGAAAAAAGCTTGAAATCTCCAACAATGGCGACTCCAGCCCCAACACCAGTCCACTCAGTGCAATGCTTCGGTCGCAAGAAGACCGCCGTTGCAGTAACCTACTGCAAAGAAGGCCGAGGTCTAATCAAGATCAACGGCACTCCAATCGAGCTCGTTCAACCCGAGATTCTCCGTTACAAGGTCTTCGAACCAATCCTTCTTCTCGGCCGTCAACGCTTCAATGGCGTCGATATGAGGATCCGCGTCAAAGGAGGAGGTCACACTTCTCAGATCTACGCTATTCGTCAGAGTATTGCTAAGGCTCTTGTTGCTTACAATCAGAAGTTTGTCGATGAACAGACTAAGAAGGAGATCAAGGATATTCTTGTCAGGTATGATCGTACTTTGCTTGTTGCTGATCCTCGTCGTTGTGAGCCCAAGAAGTTTGGTGGTCGTGGTGCTCGTGCTAGGTTCCAGAAGTCTTACCGTTGAAGACCTTCAATGGCGGAGGAGAGAGAATACCAGAGCTTCTTCCTTTTTTTTATTTTTGGTTTGGAATTTCTACCTATCATATTTCTCTGGTTTTAGGTAATGTTATGGATAATTTTTATTATTAGTGGTTTCCTGATGATTTTGAGCTCTCTTTTTCGTTAGTTTAAACCCTAAATTTTGGATTAGAAAAGTACTTAAAAGTTTCAATTAATCGTCGGATTTTATATTTTCATCATTTATATTGCAATGTTTGATTGTTATATGCTTATTAATTCACTGTTGTGTTATTTTGATTCTACTTTGCAATGTTTGATTATTCTGGTATTTGAATTCTATATTGAAGTGTCGATTTTAGGGATTAGTATGTTAAATAATTGCTTGATAATAGATAGGAATTATACTCATTTCCGGTTTGGGTTTGCGTGCTTTCAATGGTTGTTTGAATGAATCCAATGTGTTGAGAGTAAGGTGTTAATGAATATGGGCTCCATTTTTTAGGATGTCTGAATTCAGTAGTTTCAAGCATTTGCGTTTACTGCTGCTTGCTTTTTTCTAGAATGGTCATAGACATGAATTTCTAGTGAGAAGTATTCGTCGTCCATTAGTACTTAAACAATGTAGGCATCTATGGCCTCCTTCCTGTTCCTAATGGCGCAGCCGACTAGCTGTTGTGGCATGATAGTATGATACTCCTCAATTGCTCTTGCCTTTAGTGTCGAGTATGGCTGTTTCTTATGTTCTCTTGAGAGCTTTCCATGTTTTTGTACAATCTAGTTATTATTGCCTTCGGAGTCTATAGATTGTTAATCATTTATGTTGTCTTAAGTTAAGAACGTACTCGATCTCCATGTTTTGTAGGCTGACTATCTAGTTAGTTAATCACTTAATTTGTCTTAAGAACTTGTATTTTGATGCTGAAAATCTAGTTCTTGCCTGTGACACTATTGTGCTAGTTTTATCTAATATACATCAATGTGTGACACTATAATTTGTGAGTTTGTTTAGTGTATTCCTCAGAGTAGGCAACGAATTTAAAGTTGAATTGCTCTTTTGATGAATATATATGAAGAAGGGATGTGTTCAATTATATGTACGATGTCTTGAATCATTTTTTTAGTACTATTGATTTCAGATTGAACACCCTTAACTTGCGTTGATTTGTGAAATTTGAGCGAATAATTATTGATTCTATGAATGAGTTTCGAACTCATTTTCTTGACTAGTATGTCGTACAGTTAGATTTTTCTTCAAATCTAAGTTTTCCTCTCTAGTTGAATAAGTAATTATGACACTTTATTTGCACACAGCAGACCTTTTTGATCTTGTAAAGGGTCAAAGCAGAACTTGAGCCAATTCATACTTATTTTTCTAGACTGTTAGCAGGCAGCTTAGCTTGCTTTGAGAATTTCTCCTCCCAACTTAGCTTGTGTTTTTTATCATATCAAGTAATTAGGGTTGTGAACTTGTTATTGAATCAAACTGGACTAGTGTGCTCCACTTACAAGTTATGCGAATTCTTCTAGATTACTTTAAGGTTTAGAATTGTACAGCTCGATTTCATTGATTAACCCTCATTCCCAGTCGATACAGATCAAATGATGTAGCCAGTAGCCCAGTTGGGCTTATAAATTATGACCAATCTTTAAATCTACGAGCTGGTCTCGTATAGTCCACCATTTCACTAATTACTACTATAGCAGTTGCTCTGAACATAATGAACTGTGTTTTTTATGTCTATGACTCTTATGTCTATCTAAGACATTCTGAATATTACAGCATAACACTAGACCAAGCTCTTAGATTACATTGCTTAGGCAAAAAATATGAAATGATAAAATACATCACTAATGCTCCGCGTCAAACTTTGACATGGTCCATGGATTAGACCAGAGTTGTATCAAATATCTGTAATGAACAAACACCGAAACACAAGTAGTATATTGACTGGAGCACGACCTAGGCCAAGTGAAAAAGAATCTTATATCATGGCTTTTCGATGAATTGTGTTGTGGTTTCACTGGTTTGGGTTATCAAGTACGCAGTCTGTATTTAATTTCACTGATTATGTTCTTTAACTGGTCCTGGTGAGACAGACGACTAGACAAGTAAGGTTGCTTTTGCAAGATTGTTAATGCCTAAAGGAGTAAAAGGTGCACTAGTGAGAGTCTTCAAGGATCTTGGTTGATTCTTTAAATAAGTAATGCAATGCAATGTGGAATTAAGGTGTAATTCTAGGCTTTTATTTATGTTTGTAATTATTAAGCATTTAGCTTGTTTGGAGATGAATAAGATAATGTAAGAGGCGGAGAAAAGCAAGCTGTTATTATCTCAATTTAATGTCACATTACTTGACCTACCAACGTAACAACAATTTTTTGTAACAGCATAATGGACTTGAGACCTGTCCCAAATGAGTCATACAAAAGTACAGTTGCAAGGCTGATCCTCTAAATCCTGCGCCTTTCCTAGTATAAATTATTCATCTAACAAGTACGTATTAATCTCCGACATGAAAAACATAATCAATTTCGATTCAAGGGGAGATTGAAAACCTTAATTCCTATAACAAGCATGGGTGATGGGGATTGGGGGATCGTTAAGTGAGCCATTAAATATGAGGTTAGCAAACCAGTGATTTGCACCTTCAGTGTGGTGCACACCATCCCAACTCACATGTAACGCTGGGTTCTTGCAGACTGCTCCATACACTGTCGTGCTATTCGATATTGCACCCTTTTGCCCACACCATACATGATCATACTTCTCATGGTACCCACAGCATACATTCATTGGGTCTGCCCATCCTGATTTGAAACAAAACAGAGAAAGCAGAATAATTACTTATTTGACAAACATAACATGCTATATTTCCATATTTTGGTTCAAAATGGAGTGTTGAATGTTGATAGCCGGTCCAGGATCTAATGTATTTGAGGTGTAAAGAAGGATCCGAGTGTATGGTATAAAATTGAGCATAGTGAAAACATGTAAAAAGTTCATGCATACTTGACAATGTGATATAGATTGGCTTAACACAGTTAATTTAGGTTGCTATTCATTTTTAAGTCTCATCAAAGCAAGATTTAGATTGAAAACATTTTAAAGATCGATTAATCTGTACTTCTGTATTAGTGGAATAGAGAAGTTGTAAAGATAGCATGAGTTGATTACCTAGACTTTTTGTTTTGCTAACTAGTCCATACTTGGCAGAGTGAAGATCCACATATGTGATCGCGGCTTCAGTAAGTTGTGCCCTGAGTTTTGTAACAGCATCCTTGAGCTGCTTATTGAATTCAATAGCCATATCATTCTGCCCTTTTATGCAGCCAAATTCATCAACTAATCCGGGCTTAGGATCTATAATGTAGAATCGGTTTACAGGCAAGCAACCAATTGGACCGGTATTATGTATCCAGAATGACCTCCCTCCTTGTTCATATAAATGCTGCCAGACAATTCAAAGGTGCATACTTTGTAAGAAAAAAAGAAATACTTCCTATACATATTTTGACATTCAAGATAAAGGCAGTGTTTTGTTCTTAGAAACTTACTTGAACTGCAGAAGAAAATTGGGAAATGATGTTAGGGATGGCTGCACGAATTTGTTCATTGTTCATTGTACGGAAGGCAACAGAGAGGTCATTCTGGCCAATGTCGAATGTGTAAAGAGCCTTCGCGAAGTCCTCTTGTCTAGGAAGCACACTTTTCTCAAAGGGACTCTTAACTGAATTTCAACAAGGATTCATGCAATAAGCACAATGTAATTCAAGCATTATCCATCCCAAAATCCAAGCATAAAGATGACTTTACGGTTTTACCTTGGTCGTAAAGATCCTTGGTTCTAGACTTGAACTGATCATGATGCCAAATTTGGACATCAAGTGAGAAAGGGCTAATCCCATATTGAAATATTGTCTCATTCTGCCTACGGATAGTAGATCCACCGGTAGCGAAATTAGCACCGTGGCTAAAATTGGCTCCAATCGAGTTCAAGTATGCACTCAAGTACGGAAGTCCTAATTGCTCCGCTGCACAAAGATAGTCACATCTTTGTTACTTAATCAAAATTGAGGTATGTTGGTGATTCTGAAGTATATGAGTAAAAGAAATTTTCTGACACGTTAAATTTGTCCAAATTTTACAAAATTAAGTAGCTGAACAGTTTATTAACCTTTATTGAATAGACTTTAGTAAATAACATTTAAAATTTTATCACATTTGCAATCTATATAAAAATACTCAAAATAATATCGCATTTTCAATCCATCTTTATATTTTATCTACTACTAGTATTCTAGATACGACGTTTAACCGAGTAAGAATTTGGTGTTATTTGCCAACCTATACATACACATAATGAGTTAATGACATAAACTATAGACTATAAATGTCACTATACAACAAGTAAATTGTAGTAATTGACCATGACTGTTAAAACACAAAAATAGCATAAGCCAACTAAATAATGATGTACAAAACAAAATTATTACCAATAAAATCGACGAGAACACGGCCGTCGGAATCACGACCCACCGGCTTCTTAAAGAAGGTCTGGCCGTAAGGCCACTCAATAGGCTGAAAAGCCGCTGAAATGCCACCGGTGTCCGAGTTCGAATCCCCGAAATTATACATTGCTGGGAATTTACACGGCGGCTTATCTCTCACCGACTGTCCTGCCACCACTCCCACCACCATTAAAACCACCAATACACCACCACTTAAACACCCCATTTTTTATTTTTTTTTTAATGTGAGAAATGAAGAGGGAAGATTATGGAAGTTTAGTTATAATTTTGAGCTTGAAATAAGCCAGCTAAAAGTGGAAGTGGAATGATGGATCCAAATATACTAGGAATTTTAGGATTTGGGTATAAATTATTGAAGATATTTTGGGGACCTTGTGATTTGTTACGTTGTTTTGCACCGAATGAATCATCTACAATTTGGGCAGTGTGTTTATCCAATTATCTATTCCAAGTTGGATCCACCTTCGACATCCAATAAATGTTTTGAGATGTGTATGTCAATTAGTTTTTTTTTTTTTTTTTTTTTTTTTTTTTTTTTTTTTTTTTTTTACTTCGTACTAAAATTAGAAGTGTTGGAATGATATTAGTTATTCCTTCTATTCACGAAAGAAGGTTATATTGGATTATTTTACATGATTAATGATGAAAATAAGATAGTGGGCAACAATGATTAGATGTTACATGTATAATTATCAAGAATTAAGAAATGAAATTAATTTCGAGATATAATTATTTGCATAGGATGTTAATACAAATTTGTATGTGTGAGAGAAATGTGTGAAAATTAACTATTTTTAGGGAATTTGAACCCCCAACCACTAATATTAAAGGTGGCTTATTAACCATCTTAGCCCATTATCAAGAGTGTTATAAAAATTATAAAAAATTGTACATAAGTGTAAATCACATGATTTAATTATTTAAAAAAAAAATTCAATAATATCGATTTCATATTTCAAAATCCTTACAAAAAATGCCCTAATTGCACGAATATAAAAGTAGGAACCCGGGGCAATGCCCAGGCTACTCACTAGTTTTTAATTATAATCCGAAATTGATAGATTAAATTTATTCTACCTAACTAGGTTAGGCAATTGATACATTGATGTTAAATTTATTACATGGACAATGAGACGTATGAGAGTAGGCTGTAGGCCCAAAGAGGATCCGCTCATGGGCTAATGTAACCAAATCAGGGCAAAAGGAAAACAATACATCATATTAATATTCAGCTTGTACGGGGAAATTAATATTTATGGCAAATTTACACCGACATCGACACATACTAGACACTGATGGTCTGATGTTCTTTAACACGTCTTTATGTTTGAAATTATAAAGTGATTAAATCGTTATATTTCATATTTAAGATTTTTTTTTTTTACAATTTGTAACATATACATAATTTTATTTCAGTTCAGCGTAATACTCCATACAATAGAATTATCGAGATAAACTAAAAAAAAAAAAAAGTTTTTTATATATAGTAACCCTTTTTTTTTCACTTTTCTACGTTGTGCCCTAACATATATCACTTTCTACAATGTAACCACAATATATTTTTTGTTTCCATACGGTAACCTTGCTGTTATCCTGCTGTTAAAAAATTCCGTTAGTGGGGCCCACTCTTCATTATTAGTATTTTTTTATCGATTTTCGGGGGCTATTTTGGGACTTAAGGGACCAAATTGAGCTCAGATTTGGCAAAAAAATGACGTAAATGTCTCGTTTTTCTTATTAAGAAATGTCTCGATTTACGTGTTCACATTTTAACACACAAAACGAGACATTTACGTTATTTTTTTGCCAAATCTGGGCTCAATTTAGATCTCTAAGGACCAAAATAGCCCTTGAAACCTTTGACGGAGTGATTTTCAACGCGCAAATCGATAAAAAAAATATTACTAATGGAGAGTGGGCCCCACTACAGAATTTTTTAACGGCAAAATTACCGTATGGAAACAAAAAATATAATGGGGTTACAGTGTAAAAAGTGATATATGTTGGGGCACAACATAAAAAAGTGAAAAAAAAATAGAGTTACTACACAGAAAAACCCAAAAAAAAAAGAAGTAATTTGAAAAATAGCCGTTTTCTCAATACATCTCATTTAAATAAGTAAAATAAAGTTAAAAAACAATAAGTCAATATCTAACATTATAACACCATCAATCTCATATTCATATCATATATGTAAAAAGAGAGATGGTGGGAAACTTGAAATGATGGTAAGGAGATCATTCAAGTTACCTACATATTCAAACGTCAAATGCACCATTCATTCTTCTAGATTTCCTATGTTAAGAGTCAAGGTCATATTAGTAGGTGTAAACTCCCTAAATCACAGGCAATGTGGCATTACTTCCGATAATCTTCTCCGTCTTTGATGGTTGCTGAATAATTTATACACATTTTCTTCCAAGTAACGCCAATTTTGTCATCAAGGTTACTTAATGTTCAGAATTGTACAACACTATTGTGTAGATTAACTGATTTACATGTATTCTACACTATTTACCTAGGAAACCCAATTAGATATAATCACACAAAATAAGGCGTATAAATTATGATCAATCCTTTAATCAACGAGCCGGTCTCATATAGTTAGCCATTTTACTAATCTCTAGGAATAGTTGCACAATATATACACAGAACAAAATAAACTGTCTAAGCTATATTACATTGCTTAGAGCAAAAATACTCTGCTACAACAACCCAAACTAGAATGCTTTCCCATTAGCTATGATACCGTGAAACAATAAAACACAGCACCACAGCATCAAACTTCGACATAGATTAAGCAGTAGTAGTTGTATCAAATAACGAACAAACACGAGAAGTAGTATACTGACTAGAGAATGGCCTAGGTCACCAAGGGAAAAAGAATCTTCTCTATAAACACATTCCAAATTTCCAATATTTGTGTATCGCAAAAGTAGCTTCTGTGGTAACATTACCAATGACTTCCTCTAACGCCGGAAACCAAAAGAAGAGGAAGTAATATAGTTTAATCAACTTGATTAAATCAGTTTTTTTACGCGGTGTCAACAGTTACACATGTACCATTTGCTAGAGTTGCTTACTGGAGTAGCCAGTCCGTATTCCGCTCACCTGTTTAACAATAATACTAATATAAGTTGGGGAGACAATTTAGCAGAAGACCAAATTGGCAACTAGAGAAGAAAACAGAGGACATAGACACAGAGAGTAGATAGTTAAATACTGCATATGAGAATAATTCTATGTAAATAATATTCCTAGTACTTTTATTTAATGAGCATATCACATGGAAATGAAGAAACAGCCTAGCCTGCATATTATTAGCCACTTGCCAACTTCATCAACCAGGCAACACAGATTTTATACATTAATTTAACTATCTCCAACTAATGTAAGATCATTTCTGTACATGTAAACAAATAGCAACATCTAAGATCCTTCGTACTAATTTAGGCTATGCCCGGTTGGGTTGCATGCATGTGCTAATATCGGAATCACAATAATGGATGCTTGCTAGGGACTAAGATCTTAGTATCTTACATACTCTTTAATTCAATAGCTTTATTAAGGATTATAGGAGATGTTAGAATTAGAAACAGAGAACATAGCAAATTACCTTTAAACTACCAAATGGAATACTGATGACCATTCACTATGTCAAGCAACATTACGTACACTCCTTAATACTCGGCTAGTTGACACCTCTGTAGCTCCCCTTGAATCACCATGAATGTCAGCCAAAGGATTCATGATAACTCCCCGGGACCCCGGAGACTAAACCTCCGATTCTCTAGTCCGAATGTATCGCCAGGCCTCTTATTAGCCATAGTACGCATGGCAGAAATCGAAGGTGTGGTGCCACCAAAAGAAAACCGTGAGGTTGAGCCACGACCATCAGGTCTCCTCCAAAACTTAGAGCTCAAAAAATCCGGACCAGGCAGCAAGCAACATGAGCTGCTCCTTGTGGCTTCGGCAGAGGACATCCTTGCAGTTGACATGGCCAAGTCATAGGATATATCATCCAAGGCCATTTCTAGGCCATGCACACGAGTCTCAAGAGTACGCATACCATCCTGTGAGCTTCCAATAAATTTCTGGTTTGGGTTTAAAAAAAAAACAAAAACAAATCAATGTTAGCAACAAGAATAATGATTTGATTGAATAAGGAAAAGGAGAGTTAGATAAGACCAAAGGCTAATAAAACAAATTACAGGAAAGTAAAATAGAATTAATCTATAAAGTTAAAGATCCTTATTGTTGAATGTCGGTGAGACCAAAAACTAGTAGGTAAGCAATAATCCAAGAATCACCTGCAGTACATCCATCAAACTGGACTGCTGGCTTTCAATTTGAACAAGCTGCTTACGGATAAGAGAAAGATCCTCAAAATCTTTGTGGTGTTTACAAACATCTGTGGCGGAATTGCTGACAGTTACAGTAGCTTCAGAGTCATCCTCAGGATATGGCATCACTCGAGAACCAGAATTCTTGCTAAAAAGACCTCGCTTAGTTTCATGCTTTGATTGTCTGACATCTGATCTTCGTAGAGTGCCCTCATCATCTCCCACTGAATTTTCTCCATAAGCCGGAGTACCAGATGAACCATAATGATCAGTAGCATCAGTGTTCACATCAGAAGACTTCTTGCAATCAAGCTTCCTGAAAACTGGTGGGCTTGACCTCTTCCCTGTAACATCAGGAGCACCTCTGTTTCTAGCCGTGGTTTTCAAAGCACTATCAGATGGGGATGACTTCCTAAGTGGAAAACGTTTTCTGCTTGTTTGAGGAGTGTTATTAGAGTCAACTGCACTAGAAGTTTTAGATCGGCCAGGATATAGTCCATCACTAGCATTTTCTGTTATCCATATCAATCAAAACCCATCAGAACAATGAAGGTACAAACACGCTAAAGACTCAATCGAGCATCCAATAACAACATAGTTAAAAATAACAAAATAACAAGAAATGAATATGAGCATGGTTTGCAATCCAGATGTAAACAAGAAGGATAATCAAATTGAGGTAAAAGACGCATCTTAATATCAAAGCAATTGTACATCCGAAATCCATCCATATGAAATAGTATTCTAATGACAGATAAACCCTAAGACCAATTCCTTAATCCATGGTTACTTGGATCAATATCTTCACAAAACTTCAAACATAATCCTATAATGAAGGTGTGAGTTAACTCAATTCAAAGCAATAAACCCGGAATCAAATCCCGTCTACATAATTGTCCTTCGCGGCTCCCTATACTATACACCGAATCGAATCAATTCACTTAAGACATAATCTAGTAATCTACCCTCATCTGAATTAATGAATCACATATTCATCAAAATTTGCATTTCAAATTTTAATCAAAAACTACACTAAAAAAACAATTTAAAGAGACAGAAAAACAGGAACTCTGACCTCTGGAAGATTCTTGAAAATTAGGAGGTGGTGATCCATCATCAAAAACATCAGGAACTTCCTTCCAAACCTCTAACGCTTGATTCATCGATTCTCTAACCGCTTTCACCTGCAAAAAAACAAACTCCATTAAAAAATTAATCAAAACATTCATCAAAATCAAATCAAATCAAATTAATTCTAACATTTTTCTATTATTTGCATTTAAAAATTAATCAACCTTATCAAATTTTCTGGATTCAATTATCTTCAAGCAAGAAACCTTCATCTCCGACAAATTTTCTCTCTCCACCATTGCAATCTCCTTCAACGCATCAGCAGCCGCTTTCCTAGCAGCCCAATCCTCAGATTTCAAAAACTCAACAAAACAATTAACCAAATCTCTCAACAAATTACAATTCCCAATCTCACAAACCCTAATCGAACTCTTCATCAACAAAATCAACGACGATTTCGCCTTAAACCCGTCACATTTCACCAACTTCATCCACTTCGGCAACACCTTCATCAACTGCGAACTCTCCACCGCCGGAGACGCCTCAATTGCGGCGGAAAGACACATGGCAGCCGCCGATTGCGCCCCGAACTCCTGCTCGGAGGAGAGAGAATCAGCGAGAGGTTTAAAAATGGAGGAGAGAGAGATGCTGACATGGCGAGCGAATGAGGCGGTGGTTACAGCGGCGGAAGATCGGACGGCGGAGTCAGGGTCCCGGAGACGACGAACGACGGCGGAGATGAGTTTAGGGAGGTGAGGAGATAACACGACGCCATGGAAGGAAGAGAGAGAAGCTAACAGTTTGAGGGAGGAGACACGAACGGCGGAACGGTCGGCGGCTGACGTGGAGGAGAGAGAATTGATGAAGAGTGAGAATGTTTCAGTGGTGAGTGTCGGAATGATAGACTCTAACTCCGACACTGCTTGCGGGAGTGTGTCTCTGTCGGAGAGTTTTGTCATGCACGTGAGTACTCGGTGCCGGAGATCACGTGACATTGTCGCCGCCGATTGTTTTGGCGCCATTTTTGATACTAAGGGTGGAATTGGAATTTAATTTTTAAAGTGGCGGTGGTTGAGGCGGCGGCGCAGTGGGGAATTCCGGTGGCATTGGTGGTGGAGGGAGGAGAGAGAAAGTGGGGTGTTTTTTTTTATTGGGAATAAGGTGGAAAGTGGAGATTTTTGGGGGTTTTTAAACTGTAAAGAGAGGAAATGGAGTTGTCAGTTGGAGTCATGTGGAAACAGTGAAACGATGTCGTTTTAAGGGGTTGTTTTGGGTTTTTGACTGTAATTGTTGGTTTTTATGGTAGTGGGTAGTTATTGATTATGTGAGTCTTTGGTGAGACAGTTATTGAATTTTTTGTGTTTGTTTGTTTTACAAGTTTTGATTATTGTTGCCTTTAGCTAAAGAAGAATGTTCAATGTAGATAATTACAAATTGCCGTTATTCTAATTAAATATACGGGATAAATTAATTATCATATCATTTTTTCATCGTATCTCTCGTGTTAGGAACTTTTGAGGAAAACGTGAGCCGGAAACATTGATTTAAATGTGTTAGGAATATTGATTTTAAGCTAGTTAATATTGTAGCTCGTGTTAGGAACTTAAGATTACATTACTACTAATAATGAATTTCATTTACCATTCTTTTGTCTTGGTAACGTTGTCACCTCATATATTCTACTATTGATTTTAAATTAAACCAAGTTTCACATACGATGCTAAATGATACAGTAACATTGATTTAATTAATTGATAATGCTTGATGATTTGGTCACTTTACTAGGATTAGGTTTAGTTTAGGTTATCTGATCTAAAATTCATGAGTAATTGAATCACATCATTTTTTGTCTCAACCGAATGGTATGGATTACATCTCTTTTATTGAAATATCAACTTCTAACTACTTTAACTACTAATTAGCTATTGTATAATTTGTAGTAACATCAAACAAAGAATTGTTAAGGAAAGAACCTTCAATTTAACCTTGAATTTTGGGGTTTAATTTCTATTAGGGACATTTTGAATATGTAGATCCCCGCCATTTTTTTTATTATTATTATTTTTGAAAAAAGGAAGCAGAAGTAAATAAACATATAAAATCAAGTTTTAAACAAATAAAAAAAAAATCGTGTATATACTTCAAAATTTTACTTGCAAAATGATAGCACCTGTCATTATAATCTTACAATATATACGTTGCAGTTGATGTAGAAGAACTGTATTTCATGTTTTAACATATTGTTAGCTAGATTATTGATGCTTTTGACGTATTGTAAAGTCAATTGTTTATAAATTTGATGAATTGGAGAAGATGATAAGTTTAAAAGTTCTCGAAATTAATTGTAACAGCCAAATCCAACTTATTTCTTAAATCACAAACAGCTCCTCTTTAGTAAGATCATACAGAACATCAAACTAACTCCAGCTATATCTCGCTCACGTACATCAATTCCAAACTCATTCTTGCGTTTTGCATGCACTCCAAAACTCAGTATATGTACATGTAGTTGAACCCACTATTCAAACCAATTTGGGGCTAATAATAAGCTAATTGGTACGTACATAAGTTATACAAGTATATAGTGAGTCTGCTTTACAAGCAACCACAACAAACAAAAAAATTCACCTGAATGAAAATGAAACTATTTTTTAAAAATCAAATTTTAAATTTAATGGCATAAAAAAATTTGTTGGGGAGCCTAAAGAAATTAAAAGTATATATGAAATACTTGTATTAAACAGGGTCACACATTTGTCAGAGAAAACTATACAAGTACTTAGCTAAGGTGTACATATTTCATTAATATTGAGTCTAACCTATACACAACCACAATAAAGTTCTTAGCTTGCCTTTAATTATACTTTGTATGTTTGTAGACTTGTAGTAGTACCTAAAACTTGATTTGAGTTATACATGCGTGATGGATATACTGCCAAACAAATGGTGAAAAGGTGAGAATTTGAAAAAAATGAAGGGAAATATAATTTAAGCAACTCCGTGGAGCGATTACATACCATTATATATGATTAAAACTAGTACCGTGCTAAATCTAAACGGAGGTCAAACTTTATTTCATTACTTAAGTTATACTCCGTATATTGATCATCTGTTTAATATGTCGTATAATTTTTCTTGCATACTGTACGAATAGCTTTCAAGTAATGTATCGAGTGGATAAGTACATATAGGTGTTGCAATCTCCATGAATAACACATTCTATATTCTTTCGGCGCAAAATCTCAAACTCAATGGCATAGCACTAAATAAGTATACCTCTCAAAGTAGTTGGGGAGCCAAAAGTGGTAAAAAGTATGAAACATAGTCACAAGAATTTGCAGTGAAAAGAAAGACAATATAAGTTATTCCAAGTGGAGCGTAATAATATTTACTACCAGTAATTTAAGTGATGAAAAGGGTAAAGATAGTTTGAGTACAAGATATTGTTATAATTAGGGTTTATGACAAGAAATGTGAGGATATATATTCACCTACCTCTTATAAAAGTTAGTTCTAGGCAAAAAAAGGAAAATTAAATATGGTTGTATGGAAGTAAAGGGTGGAAGAAATGAATGTACACGAGGCAGAAGAGTATGGGATATATGGTCCCTAAAAGATAGGGATATCTCCCAAATGAAGCAATGTTTTTGGACGTTTGATGTCCTTAAGTTATGGTTCTTATGCTTCAAGCTCTAATAGGACACATCCCTCTTTCATTTGTCCATTTTGATGTGTTTTGTATGTTGTATCTTATCAACAAGATACATTATTATATTGGTATGTCATTTTACGTATTAAAGTAACATGTTCGGTCGTAAAATAAAAATAAAAATTAGTAAAAATCATTTTAAAAAAACCAAAAAAAAAACTTTGATTTGTTATTAGTTTATTGATGATGCATGTAGACGTAGTTGCATGTGATTTACATATTATTATGTTATTGTTGTTTCGTGTTTAGTTGTGTCCTAACATTTTTTTTTATTATTGGAAATTAATTAAAATGTTATGGACCATAGACAATGAGAAGAGGGAAATACTAACCATCCCCCTCCCCCTCCCCCTCCCCCAAGAGGCAAAAACGTTGCTATTACGTTAATTTTTGAACCTCGTAACCTTCAATTTTAACTACTATAATATGTAAGCTTTAAAGGGTATTATTTAGCTTCCCTAAAAAAGTGGGAATGATCGAGAGAATACCATCAAAATATGACCTAAAAAGAATTTGCATATATCATGACATCGATCAAACCATAATTTTATTTCTGTAAGTACGTTTGTTATTCAACCAAAATACTTTTATAGAAATTACAATTAACACTTATACATACTTATAACTTGGATGAAAGCTCATTATCACTTGATTAGCTAGCTAAAAGTGTGGAGAAGTAGTAGTAAAATGCAAGAAATATTATTAAGGACTAAAACTGTGCAATCAATGTTAGCTAAAAATTGAACACAAGGCAATGATGATCTTTTCTCAATTAAGCGTTATATTGTTGGGTTAGTTAGCAATATTTATTTCAATTGATTGACAGATTAAATTTCAAATAGACCACTCCCCTGCCCCATTTATAGTTTTAATTGTGTTGCTAATCTTGATTTTGATTCCTAATTATGCGTAAAAATTCAGCTCCAACATTCTCTTTCAATGCCTCAATTGGTGCGGTTACTTTTCCGGATTTTCCTCTTACACTTTTACCTTAAAAACTTAATTACTAGAGTTACAGTAAAAAGCAATAGTAAAAGCACTTTTATTCATGAGCAAAATCTATCTATCCTCATGTTTTGAATGATAATAAGCACAACCCAATATGGAAGATTAACAATTTTAAAACCGTTCACATAGAATCGGTGTCAATAAATTGATTTTTCTTATTAGGTAAGAGTAATTCTAATGGTTGTAACTAGAGATTTGTTTGTAATTTTAAGTAATCTCTAGCAGCTAGCTTGATCATTGGAGTTAGAAAAATGCAATTAGCTTGGTCAAACAAATTATATTAGCTTTGTCGCTAATTTGCTTGGGAAAAAAAAATGCCAAAAAGAGATGTTATTACTCCCTCGGTTTCATAATGTTAGCCCCATATACTATTTTGGGCGTTTCAAAAAAATCTACCCATATTGAATATATTTCATTTTTAACTTAATTTTTATTGAATTAATTGGTTGTGAATTGATGACAATATGACATGACTCTAAGTAAGGAAATCCTTACCTTGAATTATGCAATTATAACTTAAATGGAGGGAGTAATAAAATTTAAATTTAAAAAACTAATCAAGAAATAACGACTTATTTAAGTCACAAGCTATTAGCTAACTATTGAGACATAAAATAACTATAAAAGAGATTAGCTTAAAATCTTATGTAGTATAATTAACAAGTTTATTTGCTAAATAGCTTACCTTTAGGGTTGCTCTAAAAACCACTATTTAGTATGGACGGATAGGGGTGGGACTTCGGTCTGGCAGTTCGGTTTGACCTCGGTTTGAGTCGGTTTCGGTTTGGAGCGGTTCGGATTGAAACGGTTTAGTTTAGCTGGCGGGTCGGTTTGGTTCGGTTTGGGTTAGTCACGGCTCGGTTTGGTTTCGGTTTATTTCTTTGCGCTTTAAATTCGGTTTGGGTCATAAGCGGGTCGGTTTATAAACGATTCAGATTATGTCGGTTCGGTTTGATACGGGTCGGTTTAAGGGGCGGGTTTACCCGGGTCAATGTCAGTTCGGTTTACAAACGGTTTGGATCAAGCTGGTTTGGTTTGAAATGGGTCGGTTTAGGGGCGGATTTACCCGGGTCAATATGGGTTCGGTTTATAAACGGTGCGAATCATGTCGGTTCAGTTTGAAATGGGCCGGTTTAGTAGAGGGTTTACACAGTTCAATTGGTTCGGTTTATGAACGGTTTGGATCATGTCGGTTCGGTTTATAAGCGGTTTGGGTCATGAATTGAATTCATGATTGTTTTAAAGATCGCGTCATGACCATGATTTAATGAGTTGATACTTATAATACGATAAATCGATAATTAAGAATGTACAAATATTCAATTAGATTGATCAACAAGTGTTTTAAACTTTTAAGTTTTAATAATCAGATATGTAAATATGTTTATCGATTGTAGATTTGTAGTACATACCAATAATTCAATGAGGCAATGATACTTATGATAGTATGATAATGATACCAACCATACATTCGTACGATATGATATACATAATAATTAATCTATAATTACATATACATTAACAATATCGTATTGAATCAATTTCCATTTCCAAACATTGCATTTCTTATAAATTATAACTTACACGAGATTAAATGGATTCGTTATTTAGTTTGTTACTTTATTTAGATTACTAACTCAAACAACTTAATAAGTTAAATGGACGAAATCACGAAATCATGACCATGATTTAATGAGTTGATACTTATAATACGATAAATCGATAAT